CGTCTCGATTTTGTTGTCGTGTAAATGAATACACTCGTCCAGTGCCTCACCACTCGGCGCTCGACGCGATCACTCATTAACGCGTCGCGTCACCAAACCCCCTCCAGAGCGCTTCCTGCAGTGGAAAAAGAATCTCAAGAACGCGCAGTATTGGCCATCGACCCGTGTCAGCTGTTCACTTTTTGTTTGTTCACGTCCATCGGTCGATCTTCACAGCCGACATCTCAATTCCAACCAACTCTCTTCTCGGCAACGCATTCCACTCACTCCGCTATCTCCTACCTCAAGCCGAACGTGTCGACACAACTTTGACTCTGTGACGAACCAGTGAGGATAGCCGATCTACACGATATCCATTCCACCAGCCGCGAGCCGTCGTCCAACCTCGCTCCTGTTTCACTTGCTACGTCGCTTCGTTTCGCTGGCACTCACAACTTGAAACGTGATGATGAGAAGACGATCTCCGCCGCTAATGAAATGTCATTGGTGAAAAGCGTCAAGGTGACAGGTGTACATGCTAAAAGTACATTCGACTGATTTGATTTGCTCTGCTTTGCTGTGCTATGTTGCTGGTTGTTGCGGTCGACAAGGATGCCGCGATGCTGCCATGCTGCGGCGGCTCAAATCGGCGTCGAGCAAAATGCTCAAGTCGACGACCGCTTTGCAGCTATGCCGTATACTGCTCTTGCTGGCTCATGCCTTTGTGTCTTCGAGCGTCTGCCTTGGTCTTCAAGCATCCCCATCCGCGGCCTAAGTCCTTCGCCACCTCACTATCGCTTCAGTTCCACCAGTCTTCTTCGTTGATGTACTGCTCGTGCTCGCTCGTGTTTGCGTTGTCCATCCACGAGTTGTCCCCTGAGTCGTCCGCATCCGCGCCTCGTGCTGACGTCGGCTCGCGATACGTTCCTCTCGTCGAGCTCGTGTTGATACCGTTGCCAGAATTGCTTGCTGCGCCCTGCCCGCTCCCATTGCTACGGCTTCCATTGACGCCGACGTCCAGATACGACGCTGGTAACGACGTTCTCCTGTCCTGCTCCGCTGCTGACGTGCCCGATCGTTGTCCATTCACGAGTCGAGGGTCGCTCGGAGTCGGTATCGCTTCGGTGCGCGGTCGCTTGCCTGGCCTGCGGATCTGCTCGTCCTCTGGTGTCGCTTCGACGCGAGACATGGCTGCTGCGAACGGACCACTGCTGCGGTTCGGCGTACCTGCTGCGTTGGAAGAGTAGCCTGTAAACCCAGCCCCTCGATTTCCGCCGCCACCGCTGCTCGCGTTGTGAGTGCTGAGCGTACTGCTGCTGGCGGGTCTGGGAGGCAGCGGGTGGTGTTGAGCACCGTTGCTTGGTGCGGGCCGCGTAGGCACCGAGGGCTCGCTGTCTTCATCGTCGCTGTCGAGCGTGAGGTCGATCACGACTCCTGCTCCCGCTCCCGCACCTGCACCTGCGGCGGGCGAGTTGCGGGCACTCGTGTTCGCGCTGCTGCTGAGTATTTCGATGCGCTCGTGTCGCGGTGCGGACAACGCCGCCACTCGTGGCGGAGCCGATCCGTTGAGAGCTGGCTGATGTGTCGTCGACGAAGTGCTCGCTGCTGCTGCGGATGTCGATGCTATATCGCTCGGACCCGCCGTGGGAGGTGGTGACGGGCTGTCCAGCAAGACTATCTCGTTTGGCGATGCTCGCCTTGCTCCGTTTGCTTTGCCGTGCCCAGGCTTGACGTCCTCCGAGTCGCGGCTCAGCAGCCGATCTTCAAGCGGTGTGCCGACGTCCGCTGCTGGTGTTGCCTGTGCCGTCCCGCTCGAGCTGATCTTGCCGTCCGAGGTTCGCCACGAGCCATCGGGCTCGATGATGACCGAATCCTCGTCTTGCGGCACCCTCTTCAAGATATCGTCGACGTAGCCGTCCATCATGAGATCCTCCGGTTTGATCGTCTTGAAGCAAACGGGGCAGGACCACGATGGGGTCTGCTCGTTGATCGAGAAGAAGCTGTATGCATCAAAGCACTGTACGTGCGAGCAGTGGCTGCCTCGACACGGAGTGACGATGCGCATGTAGCTGAAGGGACACTTCAGACTCATGGTTGCCGCTCCCGCTTCGATGTCGTCATCCTCTGCTTCCCTTCGCATCTTGAGCAGCACCTCTTCCTTGCTCTGCAATTGCCTGGATCGTAATCGCTCAACGAGCGTCTCGACCGTGGTGACCTCGCAGATGGCTGCGACCAGCACGTGACGTTTAGGCGCATTTGCATACGTGAGATCGATGCGGTTGGGACGGCCCTCTTGAAGGACCAGTGTGTTGTCCTTGTTCAAATTGGGCGGAGGGACTCGACCGGCCTGCTTCTTGCTTCCGCGCAGATTGGTGGAAAGCGCGTGAGTGTTGACTCTGGCTTCACAGGTAAGCGGGAACTCGACGGTGGCAGGGTTGCGGCCGGACAAAGATGCGGCGTGTGCCTCCATAGTGGTGCAGAAGAGCCGTAATTGGTATCTTGGCGTCTTGAGCTGCTGCACCTGTTCCGCAGTGAGATTGACGAAGAGTGGCACGTTCTTGCGATCGTTCTGGTTGGGCGCCTCGGGGCACTGCACGATGGAAGAGGCAAACTGCTTGATCTCGTAGAAGGGAGACGGACGAAAGTTGATGCGTGCGGAACCTGCGGAGCCGACGGGCCGCGATGGGAGAGAAGCTGTTGCTGTTGAAGCCAGAGGAGAGTGGGAAGAGGAGGCAACGCTTGACGCTTTGTTGGCTGGGATCCCACCGAGACGTTGCGGATGTGCTGTGTACGCACCAGTGGCGCCATAGCCACCATACGTACCTGCACTTGTTCCGGCTCTGAGAGAGTCGGGCAGAGGCAGGATGCGACAGAACGTGTTGGCATAGAGTGAGCGGAGAAGGTTGTGGTGGGAGCGAGCGGTGTATGCGTGGAGTCAGTTAATCTGTCGGCAAGGTGCGGGAAGCATGCGGAACTGGCGGCAGCGTCGAAAACTTACCCATTCCTGTAGGCGGGTGTTGGCGGGCTCTTGTAACGAAGGATGAGGTCGCGGAACTTCTGATAGCCGCGGATATCTCCCTGTCGCTTACGTTCTGAGAGAGATGAAAGAAGACGATTGAGGAGCTCGGGTTTGTTGCCGGAGAGGGGGAGGTGACCGCATATGCTTTCTGGCTCGTTGTTGAGGTCCTTGATAAGCGCTTTTGACTGTGCTACAGTGAGCCCGCGTATGGCTCCCTCGAGCAGAGCATGGTCTGCAAAGCCGCTCAAGGCAGCATCGGAAGCCATCACGTGGTGCGGAGCATGAGCTCAGCGTGGATGAGCTGCGGAAGATGCTCGATAGCCAAGGTGGAGGAGAGCCGCGGAAGGAGTGCCGAGATGTTGCCTGTTGTGCGTATCGCAGCGGTTCAAGTCTGAATTCGCGGCATTTGAAGGAGAAGAAGCGTAGGTATGGCTGTGAAACGCGGAAGTGGTGGTGATGGTGGAAGCGGAGACGAAGATGAGGAGGACGACGGGACGAGGAACCCTTTGGTGATCTGAGGAGGAGCCTGTCACGCCGAGCTGAGCAGTTTGGCAGTCGGCATACCCGATTCCACATTTTTCGAGATTTCAACTCTGTGACGCACTGTGATAACTTCGACCAGCAAGCTCAGTTTGCGGAAGACGGAACAAGAGTACGGCTCCACTTGGGTCGCCATCTTCGCCACTCGAAATTTTGGAAATTCTGATTGACACCATCTCAGACAACCAACCTCATCGCCCGATCATGCTGTCTGTGTGAGAACACGAATCGGGTAACCTTTGCACGTTGACTGTGCCAGATGAAACGCAAATGCAATGGCGAGGGAGATTTGCATTACTTTTGAAAGATCGAACGAGCCTTGGCGTTTGCCAACGAAGCCCCAAACAGGCTCGAGCGAACCGGCGTTTTCGGTGCTGGTGCACTCTTGCCGTCACTCGGAGCGGATGCGGATGGGGACCGACCGCCTTCCACAGCTACACCTGTCATTTTCTCCTTCTTCTCAGCGTCGCCTTCCGCTTCCTTGCTTGCAAATGGTGACGTCGGATCGTTGACCATCTTATACCTCACCAGCTCCAAAGACATGACCGCGTCTTCGAGCGACGAGTGACCCAGGCTGGTTCCGTTCTGAATAATCTTGCCTAGATATCTTGCCGTCAGATCACGCAGCGACGTACGGAACGGAAAGCCGCGAGCATGTGGGTACAGCATGACCGTATCGACCACCTTGTGATGCACCAATCTAATCGCTCGCAGGTCATTCTCGAGACCGTGTCCCACCAAGATGGTCTCCTCGCCGACGAATCGGGCCATGGTCTTGCGCACTTGCTCGAGCGTGAAGATGGCTTTTTCCTCGTACTCTTCCGGCGTGATGCCCGAGAAGCGCGTGTTGTAGTCGACAATGTCGGTGCGTGCGCGTACCAGCTCGTCGAGGATCATCTGCCCTTCCTCATCCACCAACGTTAATCGTGTCAACGTGAGTCCAGCTGTGGTGTAACTCAATTCGCAATCGAGTGCTACAATGTCGAGCGGCGCCGTGGTGATCGACTTGTCCTTGATCGACTCGATCAGCTCCTTGGTCGTGATGAAGGCTTCTCGGCGATGCAGGTCGATCCCTGCCGTCTCCTTGAACACGTGCGGTCCGTAACAGCAACTGTCATCGCCGAGCGTGCTGCTTCCCACCTGCCTACTGCAGCACGTCCATATTTGGACACGACCCTTTTGACCGCTGACCTTTTCGAAACGTCGCTTGCCCCAGTGGTAGCCGCATTCCTTCGCATCCTGACCCGTTCTACCCGTTCCAGCTTCGTTCATCTCGCCCCCGACAGTGTACTTCTTACCGCAGCGCTCGCATTCCTTGATCTCGCCCACGGCGTCCGGCTTGCTGCTTCCCTCGCCGTGCCATTCCGGTGGGATGACTGCCGTGTATTCGTACTTTTCCAACTGATCCACTGGACACACAAAAGCAGCATTTTCAAGTCTAGCCCTCGTCAGCTTGCCGGTCCTCCTCTCCTGTACCGCTTTCCGCTTTGCGTCCACCTGAGAAACGGTGCCGGTCTCGGTGCAGTCGTCTACGAGGACCTTCAGGACCATGTCGTGCAGATCACCGCTTCCCTGTTGCGATCGAGTCTCGTTAGCCGCAGCGGTCGCAGCCGCCTCGAGGGCTTGCCTGTCTCGCTTCTTGAGACTGGTCAGCAATGTGATGCAGCTGTTCTTGTAAGAGTGTCTGTCCACTTTGCCAAAGTGCTCGAGTTCTTGCGCGAGTGCGTGGTCACGACACATCTTCTGCGCGCACCCTGCTACGACTGGATCGGCACTCTGCAGAATAGGCTCGTAGGCTGAAACGAAGCCGTTGTAGAAAGCTTGCAGGCCGTTCTGACGAGCCGAGAGGGGAATCTTGGAGGAAGCTGGATGATCCTTGAATCCGAGCTTGGGCGGTTGGAGACCCACGAGGGACCATTCGTTGCTGGTGCTTGCGCTCTTGGACGCAGTAGAGGCAGAAGCAGCAGAGGACGGAGCTGCGGAGAGTTTGGTAGCTGTGTATGCGTTCTTGGCTTTCTTGAGTGGTGGTGTGGAAGCGGATGCAGAAGTAGCAGCCGTGACATGGCTGCCGTTTATGCTCGCTCTTGCGGGCGCAGGAGAGGCAGTTGGAGCGGGACGCTTCAGATCTTTGGATAAAGTAGCGGCTGAGCTTGCGGCGTTGATTCGATGTGGTAGAGCACCCTGGATGCCAACTCGACTGGAGGATGCCGCTGGTGCAGCTGTCACGTTGTCGGTAGCGACAGGGACGGGTTTGTGCGAGAAGGGACAGAGACCCCGATTGGCCTCGCACTCGCCTTGTGCGTGATCAGGACATGGCAGCTTGGCCAGCAAGCCGAGCGGCTTGAACATGGTCTAGATGCGCCTTGTTACGATGTGCGCTGCCATGGACGGTGAGATGGCAGAGAGTTGGACGAATGTGTGGGTTGCAAGAAGAATCAAAGAAACGCTTCCCTTCGGCTCTTCCACAAAAGAAGTGGAGGAATTTAAAGTTAGCTATCTCACGGTCTGCAACCAAGTTTTTTTTTGGTTTCCTGCGCCAATTGGCTTTGGTTGGCATGCGTGAGTGTGCACTGCGCAGCAAAAATGTCTCTCTTTTCCACAGTCACAAAACAAGCTTGCATGGATGGTGATGTGACAGGATCGTGATGACAGTCGTGGTCATTGAACAGGGTAGAGAAGTAGCAAGCAAGAGAAGGAAAGGGTTCCGAGAGTCTCGTACAGCAAAAAAGGTACTTTATGCCCTCGCACGCATCTCGATGTTGAACGTGGTCCACAGGGCGTACATGATGGTCATGCCAAAGTACCACTTTCCCGTCGCTGGCTGCCATTTCTGCCGATGCGTTCCAGACACGACAGGACAGCCCTCGGATCCTTTCTTGTGTTTTATAGTCCTAGCTGGGATGCGCTCGTATCCGTACTCGAGTCCCGACGCAGTCGTCCTGATGCCGGGCAGATCTTGATGAACACTTCCTGCCATCTCTCGCAGATCCATGACGTTGCCTCCAAACACGTTGAGCATCAGACAGCAGCTGCCAGAGCCAATCAGACTCTGCACGACATTGGAGCTGTACTGTCGATTCTGCTCGCGCGATTCGGTGCGACGGATGCAGACCGCCTCGGCGAATTCGCGATCGGTGAGGTCAGGCTTGGCCTTGCCGTGCTTGTTTGGTGCAGGGAACCATCGGTCGATCATGTCTTGGTGCGGTCGACACATGGCTTTCGGGTCCCCTTCCCAGTCGGCGAGATGGTAGTCCGGTCGAAGCAGACTCGCATCGTGTTCGATGATGTTGGCAATGCCGATGTCCTCGAGATCCAGAATGTGTCCTCGTTCGCTGAAAAGCGGGAAGAGCGGCGAGTAGAGCTGCAATGCCATGGTGGGTGCAATGTTGAAGGCTCGAGAGAACGCAGCCACCATCTTGGACGCCGCTACCTTTCGTCCGGATACGTGGATGAGTCCATGGCTCGCAAGCACGTTGAGACCTGGACAAGGACCTCGGCTGTCCTCATCTTTGGCTGCGTACGCTTCGCCCCATTCGCCCTTGTGTCCGATGCCATCCCAGTAAGCCCAGTCGCGAATCCAGTCGTTCGTGGGCTTCCTTGAGAACACTTCGTGGTGCAGCCTTATGTCTTTGTCGTAGCTCGTCAAAAAATTGTAGACGTGGATCAGACGGCAGTAGATGTGGGTCAATGGCCACTGTGCAAACGGAGGGGGGCTTGTTGGAGAGAAGGCCGGAGGAACACAGTTCTGTGGTAGCGCACCAATCACACCGAGTTTGACCAGCAAGCTGTGGAAGATGTTGAAGCCCGTGAGCCAAAAGTCGACCAGGAAGATCAAGACCAGAGCGAGGTTGACCGCGAGTTGAGGACGATTCTGCTGCATGAGCTGCGCGCCGAGTCGAATCATGGATGAGTTTGACCTGTGCAAGGTATGCGATGCGTCACGTTGGCCCTTGGGCCTCATCTTGGTCTTGGCAGCCGACATCGCGGAAGGAGGGTCTTTCATGTGCGGAACAAGCAGGTGGGAAGGGGGCAAGAGGGCAAGAGCTAGCCATGGGGGAGATATATCAGTGCGACCCCTCTAGTATCAGGCTCCGGCAACTATGCGCGTGGGACGCGACTAGCAGTAGAAGCCTTTGCGATCTTGAGCTTCACGTCGCTCGATCGACTGAGCAGGACTCGACCCCAGGCCCGAGCTGCCGGCGCTCGCTCGCTCCTGCAGCCGGACCTCGCACAGTCAAACCATGAAAGCAAAACATCGATGTTGCGGGTGAGCGGTTATTCATTCTTTGCCGAAAGCGGGCAGGCTTTGGCGCGGATGGGAGAAAAAAAGGACGAGGAAGCTGAACCCTGAAGTCGGACCCTGATTTGGAGCGGGACCGCTTTTGGTAGGTTATCGTTCCCTGACCATGCTTTCCCGTACTTTGCCAAGAGTGGTCGCCACACCTTATCGCTTGCTAGACGACGACGATTTGGACGAGAGGACCTTCAGACAAAGAGTATTCAAGGTCCAGTTAACACATCCTCGCATGCTCATATGTGGTTGTAGGTCCACCAGAGAGCGAGAGAGTAGTCTATTTCAGGTGAAGCAAGATCCATAAGATTTATCAAAGAGTTTCTCCGGCTGCTGCAGCTCGCATACAACACGGGAAGCAGATACGCCACGTCCTGTCGTGTCGGACTCTCGATTCCCCGAGCCAACGTGCGAAAAGAAGGCTGCCTTTACAAACAAGAGAAATGCACGCTTGAATGGTCTCCGCAGGCTCGCCTTGCCGCAGAGTGCCGGTCCTTGATTCCATTAATGCCGCGCGCCCATAGCTGCGATATGCAACAATCTCAATCAAAGAAGGCCGCATGATTGCATGTGGACCCGTTGCAAGCCGGTTTGACGTGTTTGACAATGGCCGCCGACGAGGCAGTGCGTTTCGACGCCACTCCTTCGGTCCTTCCGACCAGTCTCACTGCATCTGCTGCGTGAGCGTTGATGTCGGCCTCTTCCGACTTCGCATCGATCGGGGCTGCTCCGCTCCCAAGACAAAGAGCGACGAGCACGATGATTCTGAAGAGTGAGATCCTTCTCCGCTTTGTAAGCATTGTGATAGAGCAGAGCTGGTGTTGGTGCAGTGGAACCTATGGGTCATTCCTGCAGGCCCAACTCAGCGACGGAGGGGCGTGAAGCGCTTGCTTCTTATACCTCGCAGATCTCACGCCTTTGCCGCTCAGCTCTGGGCGGCACGCAGACGGTCTTTGCCTACCCGCCTTCATTCGCCTCAGCACCGATCGACGGCCGACAATTCATAAGAGGGTGCAGCTCTTATCATTATGGCGTGGGAGTGAGACCTTCATTTCACGCTCTGCCTCATTGTGTCGGCAAACATTTACATGCCAAGCCGGATCACACCAGCACCTACACACCCAAGACCGAATAGGACCAGAGTAGCACCCCACACAGGCCTTGCTTTGACGCCCGCCGGTAATGGCGAACGTCGCAAAGTGCCCATGCGGTAGGCTTCGACGAACGAGTAGGCGCCTAACCCCGTCATGGCAGCGAACCCTGTCAGCCGACATGCGAGGCAGTCGGATCCCGGTAGCCGGTGCTTTGTGGCCCCTGTCGCTGGCTCGAGGGCCGAGTGGATGCGGTACTGAGAGAAATGCGAAGTGGAGAAAGCAAAGAGAAGGCAAGCCACAGGCGTGTGTCAGGCAGCCGCTCCCTCTCTCAAATCATCGGAGCGTTTTCCCCTCTCAAGTGGTCAAGACACCCTTCCGTCACGTTGCGGGTTGTGAGAGGACAGCGCCAAGATCCATCAGGGGCACGCCGGAAGCAGCGCTTTGCGAATCACTGCTGGGACGACGTCGTTGCCCTATCTTTCGCAACTGCTTTCTAGCAAACCTTGCGCCCACGATCATCTGCCCGGGGGCGTGCGAACCATGGATGAACTTGTATTTAAGAGAGAGGAGGAGGGTGATCGGAAAACCGCCTTCGGGGGGCTGGATCTAAACTCTGCGCACCTTGTCCTCGATCTTCTTGGCCTCGGCCTTGGCCGCGTCCAGAGCCTGCTGGCCCTTGTGTTCGGCCTTTTCGACCACGCTGGCACCCTTGTCCTGCGCTTTTTCGAGCCCGTCGGCAGCCTGAACCTTGGCAGCAGAGAAAGCTTCGCCCGCCTTTTGTTGCAGCTTCTCGAACGTGGTTTGCGGTGCCGAGCTGGTGGCCGAAACCGAAGCGCTCGACGAAGATGGCACTACGCGCACACCTGGTACGGCTACAGGGTTGAAGGAGCGTTCGCAGTCGGTGTATGCCGAGCCGAGACCGAATCCGGTTCCAAGCCATACCGGGAAGGCTCGTCCTGTCGAGGCGAACAACGCAGACATCAAGCAAAGAAGGTGGTGAGTCGAGCGCTGTAATTGCCATGCAGCTTTGCGAGATTGGGCTAAACTTACGTCGGAAGAGGAGAACGGACAGCACGACACCAGCCGAGAAGCCGATACCGGTCTTGACTACTGCATTGCTGATGCAAAGGTCGGTCTGTATGATTCGGATAGGCACAGGCGGTGATATGTTAGCTCGCTAGCACAGGACGCAGGCGTGGTTGTTGTCCGAGCGGGCAAAGGCTTGACTCACCTTTTGCGAGATGATATCCTCGGACGACACCTTTGTGGTGGATGTGGATGCCTGCTGCGACGCCATTGTTGTCGATATGGATGGATGAAGATGGTGAGTCGATGTTGCAAGCAATGATACAAGAGTGTTGACGAACGAGCCTTGAGCCGTGCGGTGATGCCCAATCGACACTTCTTCCAACCCGAAACGCGACTCATTCCGATGTGTCTGCTAAAATCGGAAATGCGATCGTCATTTGACCAGAGAGACCTCCACTCCACTACCGGCCGACAAGCAAGCCCCTCTTTGTTAGATCATCGCCTAGTAGGGTTCTCACCTCGCGTCGGTGCGACAGACACCGACCTGCCCGGTCAACAACGTGACCTGGCTTTCTTGCTTCTACACCGGTCAATTCGCTTGATCTGGATCTGACACCAGAGACCCCGTCATCCTTCCTCCCCCCGCGCTGATTGCCTGCCTTCGACCTCGGTGCAAGCTCGGTCAGCTCAGCTGCTGGAGCTCGTTGTGCACCCGCTCTCTTCTTCACCCCGCACCTGGCTTCACTTTGGAGTAGCGTGCGGGGCCCTATCAGCCTTGGTCCGTCCGTGCGCAGTCGTGTATACCGACATGCCGTGACTCATATAAAAGCGGTTGGACAAGCAAGGCGTTCGATGGCGTTGAGTCCCATTCGCACTCCGGTGGAACGGAAGTGCGGGTTTTCCAAGCATGCCTTCGAATCAGCTGGCTTCTCCTCCTGCGGGAGACAATCGCACCTTCTGGTTCCGCGATGCTGTCGTCTATCAGATCTGGCCTGCTTCCTACAAGGATAGCAACAATGACGGAATCGGCGATATCCAGGGCATCATCTCAACACTCAACTACGTCAAGTCGCTCGGAGTCGACACCATCTGGCTCTCGCCAATGTATGACTCGCCTCAGATCGACATGGGCTACGACATCTCGGATTACCAGAATGTCTACCCTCCCTATGGAACGTTGCAGGATATGGACGAGCTGATCCGCGAATGTCACGCGCGCGGTATCAAGCTCATCCTAGATCTCGTCATCAACCACACCTCGGACCAGCATGCTTGGTTCCAAGAGGCCAAGAAGAGCAAAGACAATGCGAAGAGGGACTGGTATATTTGGCGCCCTGCCAAGTACGATGCCAAGACAGGCGAGCGCAGGCCTCCAAACAATTGGAGGGGAGCTCTTAATCAGTCTGCGTGGACATGGGACGAAGCGACGCAAGAGTACTACCTGCACCTTTTCACGCCGCAACAGCCAGATCTGAACTGGACCAACGACGAATGCCGTCGCACGCTCTACAGCGACACGATCGAGTTCTGGCTCAAAAGAGGCATCAACGGCTTCAGGGTTGACACGGTGAACCTGTATAGCAAGCCCATGGATTTCCCCGATGCACCCATCACGGATGTTAACGCCGAATGGCAGATCGGCGACACTGTGTTCTGCAACGGACCGCGGATGCACGAGTATCTGCAGGAGATGGGCGCCATCTTTGCCAAGTACGACGCCATGACCGTGGGAGAGCTGCCCTCCACACCAAACATCCAGGACGTGCTCCGCTACATCTCGGCAGAGCGCAACGAGCTGAGTCAAGTGTTCCAGTTCGATATCTCGATATTGGGCAGAGATGAGAACGACTTTTATGCCACGCATCCCTTCACGCTTCAAGAGCTCAAGGAGGTGGTCGAGAAGTGGCAACGATATACCGAGGGTACGGATGCGTGGCCGACCGTTTTCTTGGAGAATCACGACCTGCCAAGAGCGATCAACAAGTATGCATCCGACAAGCAAGAGTTCATCACAGCGAGCGGAAAGATGCTCGCGCTCATGGAAAGCGGTCTGACTGGAACGCTGTACATCTACCAGGGACAAGAGATCGGTATGACCAACGTGCCAACTTCGTGGGGTCACGAGGAGTATAAGGACGTCATCGCGGTCAATTACTATCGAGATGCAGAGACGCGCTCGGGAGGAGATGCAACGGTACTCAAGAAGACACTGGACGACATCAACAGGCAAGGCAGAGACAGTGCGCGTACCCCAGTGCAATGGAATTCAAAGCCCAATGGTGGCTTTAGCACCGACCCGAACACGGTACCATGGATGAGGACAAACGATAACTTTACGAGCATCAACGTGGCTGCTCAGGAGAAGGATGACCAGTCGGTACTTGCATTCTACCGCAAAGTGCTTGCACTCCGGAAACAATATGCCTCGCTGCTAGCAAGGGGAGGATTCAGGTTGCTAGACCGGGAGAATCAGCAGTTGTTCAAGTACATGAAGATCGCCGAAGGCGGTAAAGACGACGATGCTGGCGAGAGAGCCTTTGCGGTGCTCAATTTCTCAGACCTTCCGCAAGAATACACAGTGCCAGAGGAAGCCGGCGGCAGCAAAGCGACGATGCTCGTCGAAACGTTGGAGAAGGGTGAGCCGGGCAAGTTGAGGCCTTGGGAAGGTAGAATGTATCTCTACAAGCCCTGACACTGGACGTAGCTGCCGAATGAAAGCATGCTAGCTCGTCGACATCATCGTGATGTAGCGATCTCTGCGCGAATAGACATTACCAATACAGAGCACGATCTAGGCGAAAGCATTCGTAAAAGAGAGTACAGGTAGAGTGTGTGCGCAATATCTCTGACGAACGAAATGGAGTTTCTTTGAACCGTATTGACAATTTGCCGCGGGCTGTCAAAAAGAGAAAGTTTGTGACCAGAATTTCACGTCAAGAAAATGAGCCGACGGTCGGTCGGTCGGTCAGTCGGTCGGCTACCAAAGGTTTGGGAGTTTTCGCTCGTTTCGCCGTTTCGGAAAGGCGGCAGAACCGAAGTGCTCTTGCGCTTTGCTCGCTGTTCTGTCACACACTGCAACTCGAAAGGCCTGAGACACGCTCAACTGATTGGCTCCAATAGCGTCAGAAGCCGGTCAGGGTCCTGCATCGAGCACGCCATCGACCTCGTACCTGGCGAACGTTTGCTCTGTCCCACCGTGGTTGTAACACACCGACGCCCTGTCCCTCGGAAGTGTACCTTGAGCCAACTTCATTTCGGGTCTCTGTCATGCAGACCCATCATCGAATCGGCCATGTGGCTTCACCTGTGCCCTTCTTGGTCTGGAAGACAAAGTCGAAGAACCTACCTTGATCTTCTTTAACCACGACCACACTCCATGGCCTGATTGTCTGCACAACATGGGGAACAGCGTCGAAGATCACCGCAACGACATCGTCGTGGACCAGCTTGCTGGCGTCCGACCGCCAATGACCACCACGGCGTCGATAGCCACGAGTGAGCTCGGCAAGGAAGCATCTGAAAAGCTCTCTAAAGTCGGCTCGCAGACCACCAGCACCGAGTTGGGCTCAGCACACCCACCTATCACCGATGCCGCCCTTCAGCAAGTGCGTTTGCGCCGCGCGTTGGGCGAGCGCACCATCCAGATGATCGCTCTGGCAGGTACCATCGGCACTGGCCTCTTCCTCGGCTCTGGCAAAGCGCTTGCCACTTCAGGTCCTCTTTCGATCCTCATCTCGTACTCGCTCGTGGGTGTCATCGTCTATCTAACCCTTGTCGCCTTGGGAGAGATGTCCGCCTTCGTGCCGACCTCTGGTGGCTTTGGTGTCTTTGCCTCCCGCTTCTGCAGTTCTCATGGAGGTTTCAGCGTCAACATCAACTACGTTTTGAACGACGCAATCAGCGTAGCGTCCGACCTCACGGCCAGCCAGATCCTACTAAGATACTGGGTTTCAGAGCATGTCTTCCCAGGATGGGCTCTCTCGCTGATCTTTCTCGCCTTCTTGGTGGCAGCCAATGCCATCTCTGTGAGGGGTTACGCCGAGCTCGAATACGTCCTCTCTCTTCTCAAGATCACCACCATCGTCGTCTTTATCATCGTCGGCATCGTTGTCAATGCAGGCGTCAACGACACCAAATCTTACCTCGGATTTAAGTACTGGACCATCGGCGATGCGCCTTTCGTTGGTGGATTCGGCGGCTGGGTGTCGTCCTTTGTCACCGCCTCTTTTGCCTTTGGAGGCACAGAGTCGCTCTGCATCACCGCTGGAGAGACTCGCAATCCGGCCAAAACCATCCCAAAGACCATCCGCAACGTCTTCTGGCGCATCCTCCTATTTTACATCCTGGCTCTCTTCATCATTGGCATCGACATCCCTTACAACATGCCAGGTCTCAAGTCCAAGAGCGCAGCCGTGTCTCCTTTCACCCTCGTCTTCCAGCAGGTAGGCTCCCACGGCGCTGCAAGCTTCATGAACGCCGTCGTCATGACCTCAGCCCTCTCAGCTGCCAACCATGCAGCTTACGCAGGGACGCGTATCCTTCACAGCATGGCTGTCAACGGTCAGGCTCCCAAGATCTTCGCCACCGTATCCAAGACCACGCGCGTTCCTTGGGTTGCTCTGGCTTGCGTCATGAGCGTTTCGGGTCTCTGTTTCGGCTCGAGCTACATCGGCGCTGGAGACCTTTGGAATTGGCTTCAGAACCTCGTTGGTGTCAGCAACCAGCTCTCCTGGGCCGCCATTGGTGTCTCTTCCATTCGCTTCCACAAAGCCGTCATCAGACAGGGCAAAGAGTCCTCTCTCGTCTACAAGAACTGGACGCAACCCTGGGGGCCTTATGTCGTTGTCATCGGCTCGGTCCTCATGATCCTCGTCCAAGGCTGGACCGCTTTCAAGCCTTTCAATGTTTCCGACTTTTTCTCGTACTACATCGAACTCGCCTTCTTCGCACTTGCTTTTGTCGGGTGGAAGCTGTGGAAGGGGACAAAGTTGATACCGATTGAAGAGATCGATCTCTACACGGACACTGTTCAGTACGAGAGGGATCTGAGGAGGAGACGGAGGGATCTGATCAGAGAGGGTGCAGGGGACAAGTTGCCCGTGCTGCTCGAGGACGAGGAAGATCAGGAGCAGGATAACGAAGAACAGGCAGAAGTGGAGCAGGAGCAAAAACACGAGAGTAAGAAGGAGAAGGTCAGAGCTGTGGCTAGCAGAGCGTCTCAGTATCTTTGCTTCTAGGCACAAGCTGAATGGTCGCGGCAAGTCTGGCACTTTGTCTTGTAACATAATCCAAAATCATTCCCGTGTGCACACAGTATTCTACAGAAGCAATATCAAGGGAGTCACCGTACGCTCTACGAACGTGGGAAGAATGTGCCAGGCTGGTTCCACTTTCGCTTTGCCTCTTCACCGCTCTCGAGGTCCGGGAGCTGAGAAGTGGCTGGCTCAGCGGCCGGGTCGACCTTGGAGTCGGATTTGGACGAAGTAGCGTCGTCCTCCACGACCGTCTCGTGCGCTTCTTCCTCCATCTCTGCTGGCAGCACAGCGTTGAGGAAGATAGCCATGACGCTCGAGATGAGGTACGGCTCCTCGACGATCAACACAATAGCCTGGATCAGACCCTTGAGACCGGCATTGCTACCCTTGTAGGTGAAGAAGTACGAGAACCAGCTGGGCTGGGTCAAGCTGGCCAGACCCAACGACATGCCGGCGGTGGCGATGAAGCGGGCCCTTCGATCCCACTTGGCGTACGCCATGATGCGGATACCTGCGACGGCGACGGAGCCGAAGAGGAAGGTGGTGAAGCCGCCCAGGACGCTCGCCGGCATGGCGACGAAGAGCGATGAGAACTTGCCGATGACACCCATGAGGAAGAGGATGGCGGCGCACACGAAACCGGCGGTTCGCGAGGCATTGCGTGTGAGGGAGATGACACCGGAGTTCTGGGAGAAGGTGGTGAGCGGTGGAACCATGGCAACACCGGCGAGGGTGGCGGAGATGGAATCGGCGAGCATACCACCCTGAATGCGCGACTCGAACTCGATCCCGTCCATGGGCAGGCGAGAAGCATCGCACGAGGCGGTGACGTTGCCGACGGTCTCGGCGATAATGACGATGTACGCGGCCAGCAGAGGCAGAATCAGCTCGGGCTTGATGCTGAGAGGGAACGTTTTCGTCCACAAAAATGCTCCGGAGGGTGCGTTCCTGATGGTGCTCTCGTTGAAGTATCCGGTAGCTGCGGCGACGATCATGCCCATGACCAGACCGACGAAGACGGAAGCGGATTTGAGGAAGGGGCTTCCGAAGATCTCACAGAGGATGATGGTGGCGAAGGAGACGAATCCGAGACCGATGAGAGGAGCGGATCCCCAGTACTGGCTCTGCTTTCCAATCGTACACTTGATGGCATGGTTTGTGCTGCACGGAGCACTGCCTCCTGCCCAATTGGTGATGCCCGACTTGACGAGCGATGCACCGATGAGCGCGAGCATCATACCGACGATCAGAGGCGGGAAGAGCTTGCGGATAGCTTTGGGCGGAATGAAAGCCATAGCGACGGCAATCAACCCACACAAGCAGCACGTGCCCATGAAAGCGCCCACCGCCTTCGGACAAGGCAGCTTAACTCCGCCCGCTCCCACGGGGCAGTACCCATTGGCGTACGACTGAGCAAAGAACGAAAGAGCGATCGAAATGGTGGCGAAACTGGCACCAGTGACGCTGACGATACCGGTACCGAGGTAGTACTTGGTGTTGAAGAGACGAGTGCGCGAAACCTGGAGCGCGGTTCCGAAAGCGCACCAGATCAGAGTGGACGCGATCAGGAACTGGGTATCGCTCTGACCCAAGTTAGCACCTGAACTGCCGCCGATCAGGAGAGGAGGAGTGACTACACCTCCAACCATCGCTAAAGCGTGTTGCAGTCCAAGTACTAGAGCGAGGAAGATTGGCAGCCTCTGGTTCACCGAGTAAAAGGGTAGGCTCTCGGTGGAAGGCTTGCAAAGGAAAGGAATCGTCGGCGTGAACATTGACGCGTAGTTGTGGTGGCCGAGCCATGCCTCCCGAGTTCCGAGCGCACGGACGCCGCGCTTGACCTTGCCGATGAAGGAGCGAGACGGGGCAGCGGGCATGGTGGCGAGGGAGCCCTCTTCGACGGTGACGGAAGGCTTGTTCTCCATTTTGAAGATGCCAAGTGGTGAGAATGGAAGAAGGATTGGTGGATGGATGGAGAACAGGCAGGACGGACCATCGATGTAGAAGTCAACGGTTTTATACATTCATCGCTTCGTCGTCGACGACACTTCTCGGATAGATAGCTATCCGAAGGAGAGATATGGCCACGACATGAGGAGCTGCATGATACGCGACTGCACTATCATGCGCTATCTCTTGTCTTTGCATCGCGTGGCAATCCCCGCAAACAAGGGCTCTCGGAGAAGGCCGAACGCTCACAAGGAACCGTCGAGATGCCAGGTCTCTTTTGTATGATTCAGCTAAGGTCGTTGCCCAAGCTGACAAGGTACGACCCGGGACAAGGGAACGGAATAGATAGCAGCGATGTTGCTTATCGCTCGGAAATTGGATGAAAGTGGGCGGACGTCTAGAACTGCGCGACCTCATGAGTCTGCAGCGGAAATGTTCTCGACCAAGAAGAAAAGTGCCAAGGAAATTGAGGCTAACGCGGGCAAGCTGTCAAGAACCGCCTCTCTGTGTCTGCTGATAAGCGTTCACGCGCCACGCCAACCACATGGCAAACTTCGCGCGTGCCTGAACACTTTCTCGGAGCTGTTATCTTTGTGGTTGTCGATCTCGCTCCCGCGGGTTCTCCTTCCACGGCCGGGTTTGCGCATCGTCCGAGCCCCCGCTTCCGCGTGCAACCCACGCAGAAACCAGAATTCATCCAACAGCATCCGTCAAGATCGGGATTCTTGACCGTCCCCCGCATGGAGTCTCGGCCGCACTGCTCGGTCATATCCGCCGCGCTTTGCTCGTCCTCAAACACGGCATCCGTAGCGACCTGCTGTGCGGGGAAGTCATTCCAGCCAGCTTGGCGACATGGCACTCTTCTCTCATAATTGCATCATCTCACAGCGGATCAAGTTGCGGTACCTGTGAATTCAATTGCAACCCGGTTCATTACAGTTCTATGTGAAGTGGAGTTTTAGGCGTCGGCTGAGTTCCCATGCGAGCATCCGCGGCATGGCTGAGGTCAACCAGCTTGTGCCAATCAGAAACCGGCTCGCAAGTCTTGACGCGGGCATCGCCGACTCGTGTTCTGTGACAGCCCACAGCTGCGATCGTCGTCCAGTCAGGTAAAGATGTGAATGTTAGCACCGTCACGCAAGTCGATGCTTTTCGGTGGAGAAGGCTGATACTAACGGCAGGGTGCTGATTCGTTGAACTGATGCTGGAAGAGTGGATCTGTCTCCTCTGTCAAGACATTACCGAGCCTGCACATGCACACGAAAATGTGGTACCGCTCCACGTCAGTATTCGGAAAGGCCGTCCCTGGCAGGCGTCGAGATGCAACTTACATCAGAGTCGCATGTCCGAACGAGTAGCTCCTCTCGAGCACCAGGTTCGAAGGAATGTAGATCTGATTGCGTCCATCTGCGCGAGTCAGAGTGAGTTTTGTCAGTAAACGAGGACAGAACAGCGAACTACTTCCACGATGGATCCCCCACTTACTCTCGGCGATAGTTCGCACGCTAGTACCGTAGATGACCTCTTTGAAACCAGCCCATCGAATAGCGCTCAGGCACATCGTGCACGGCTCGGCGTTCGTGTAGAGACTAAAGTGCTTCCAAGCTGCTAGGATCTCTTGCGGCGAGAGACCTTTCTTGTGCAGAACGTTCGTGCAGTGCTGGATCGCTGTGATTTCGCCGTGCTGAGTCGGGTCTCCAGTGGACCCGACGCGGTTGGCGATGGCGCAGATGAGCTCATTCGATGTCGTGTTGACTATTGCGGTACCGAACGGCGCTTGTGGACATGGGTGCGACACGGGGGGATAGTAGATGGCAGAGTTGGCCAGTCGCATCCAATGGTCGCGATCCGTAGCTGGTACCGAGTTAATCGAGAGTCCAGAGTGAAACTCTGGGTGAATGTCCTCTCTGTACGCTTCCGCTTGTGCGACCGCTAGTACGGCAAGTGCGATCTTGGTCAAGAGCATCTTGTTCGTTCTCATTGCGCTGGGTTGCTTGTGATGGACGGCAGTGGTGGAAGTCAAAGACACGCATCAGACATTTTATTGGGGTGCCGATGTCGGCGAAGAAGAAAGGAATTGTCCATATCGGTATTGACTAGAAGGGCGACCATGCAGACGAATGGTTGGCACAGTGGGAAGATGACAGCTCTCGGTTCAATGCAGAGGGATCACCGCCGAGTATGCTCGACATACATCGTGCAGACTAGACCGCGATAAACCCGCCGCGGGAAATCCGCGCGTCAACCCGACCGCTTATCTTGACAGCGCGGACCCTGGAGAATCGACCCTTGATCACTGATCACAGACAGGTCTTCCGTTGTCGGCAAAGGTCAGAAACAGTGCGTCGCTTTCATCCTTGTCGTACCGATGTTGACTGCTCACTTCGTGGCGTGTCATCGTTGTCTGCTCGGCGAGCACCGAGCAGTTGATGGATAAAAGGTCGGCGTTTCTCGCTTCGATTCACAAATATCTCGACCACCATCAAACCTACTCACGATCACTTGATTCAGCTCAGCACCCACAAACACACGCCAACATGAGCTTCGAGACCGACGATCAGAGCTCTGTTCCATGCATCTCGCTGCACAACTTTGAAGAGCGCCGCGCCGAGATCATCGAACAACTCATGGACGCAAGTACTCGCATTGGTTTCTTGTAAGTGAACAGCGTTCGTATGGCCTCGAGCTCGCACTTTTGTCAGCCTGCTAAGAAGGCCTACTTCATGTGTTCAGTACCCTTGCCAATCACGGTATCTCAGTCAAACAGATTCAAGACGCTTTCGAGCTCTCGCAAGAATTCTTCGCTCTGCCCGACGATGTCAAAGCCAAAACGCCCCTCAACGGCAAAAACATGGGATGGGAGAAAGGCGCTCAAATCCGTCCCTCCACGGGCACTGCCGATCAGAAGGAGTCGATGCAGCTGCAATTTGCACGCATGGAGGGCATGTGGCCTTCCGATGATGACATTACAGACTTCCGCGCACGTGCCGAAGCTTTCATGGATGCGGTACAGCAGCTCAGTGTAAAGGTGATGGAGTGCTTCGCCGAGGGTCTCGGCCTGCCTCTATCCACCTTCACCGAGGGAACCGTGGACCCAGGTGTCGGTGACTCCCAGTCGACCTTACGTCTGTTGCACTACCACAGCGTCGAGGGCAAAGAGTTCGGTGACAGCTTTTGGAGGGCAGGGAGTCATGCTGACTTCGACGTACTCACCATGCTCTTCCAGCGTGATGGAGAAGGTGGGCTCGAGGTGTGCCCGGGCAGGGAGGTGGTTGGCGACTTTGGTCATGGAAATACCTGGAAGAATGTTGAAGCGAGGAGCGACCGAATCGTCTGCAACATTGGTGATCAGCTGATGCGATGGTCGGATGACAGGCTCAAATCGACGTTCCACAGGGTCAGGCTGCCGAAGCAAGGCGAGCCAAAAGGTCCTCGTTACTCGATTGCTTTCTTCAATCAGGCACGCAGCGACATCGTGATTCAGGGACCCGGCAAAAAGTATGCACCCATCACTGGAGCCGAGTTCATTAAACAGGCGTTGGAAAGGAACAAGCTTGGCATCGCCGCACGCTCGCTTGCGCAGCCGCAGATCAAGGAGGCAGAAGTGACCGCTCCCTCGACTGCGGTTACGGTCAACTGATGCGCGTCACTGCCTGTCTCAAAGTAACCATTCTCGATTGCTGTGATACGACGTTGATTGCATGAATGCGTATTTAAATAGCTGCTGAGAAGATGACTGTGGCGGTCGTGAATCAACCCTTCACCAATCGTCATCGGATCCTTCCTCATCCGAGTCGCCCATATTCTCCTTGCGTTGACTGAGCGCGGCAGCCAGGGCACTTGCAAGATCACCATCGCCTGCGCCAGCGCCGGGAGATTCTGTCCCAGTGGCAGCAGCAGCTGCTCCTGCACCAACTGCTGCACCGGCGACGCCGCCTGCCACCGCAGCTCTTCCGGAAGAAGGTGGAGCGGAAGCATCGGTCTTCTTGAGATTGTGCACGCTTTTGCCTTGAATGGAAGCAAGCAGCGCGCCGCGACCGTCCCGGGGTGGTGGCAGAGGAGCCGAGCCACCAGCTGCGGGTGGTGGCGGAGGAGGAGGAGGCGCAGCGCTGCCACCCATAGGCGGGGGAGGAGGTGGAGGTGGAGGGGCACTGCCGCCTGCCGCGGGTCGCATTGGCGGTGGGGGAGGGGGCGGCGCACTCGATCCTGCCGGGGCACGCATGGGCGGCGGTGGAGGCGGAGGAGGGGCGGCCGAGGTGCTGACGCCCGAGCGAGGAGGCGGTGGTGGAGGCGGAGGCGCAGCAGACGAGGCGGAAGCAGTGGATGCTGCGGCGGCATGACGAGATCTGGGTGCTGGCGGGGGAGGTGGCGCCTTTCGCTTGCTTGTTGGGGCGGGAGGCGGAACCTTCTTGGCTTTGGGAGCTGCGGGTGGAGCCGGCTTGGACATAGCGCCTGGACCGCCACGCTTGCCAACGAAGTCTTTGATGAAACTCTCGTTCTGACGGATGTCCTTTTCGCTGATGCCGAGACTACCGAGCTGTTCCAGAAGCGCTTGCCAGGTCGGATCGACGTTCTCGGAGCTGAAGCCGTGCTCTGCAGAGAAGCCCATGTGGGCGACATGCTTGAAGCCAGAGGGAGCGCCGATCATCGACTTGTCGATCTTGCCGCCAGAGGTTGCCTTCTTCTTCTTTGTGCTGGATGAGCCGGACTTGGATTTTGCATACTTTGAGCGATTCGAGACTTTCTTGAAAAGGTCGTTGGCTTCTCCTTCATCTGCAAAAGAGAAGCCGATGAGACACTCATCGCCCTCGAAAGAATGGAAGAAGGTTCGATCCTGATTGTATTGGAAGCCGTCGTAGAATTCGTGCTCCCAGATGACACCTCGAGTGCCTTTGAGGTCGATGACTTTGAAGTAGAACGTTGCCTTGACAAGGTCACGCACGAAGGCGATGGCACCCTCAACACCAGTATAGCTCCATTGCGACGGGCTTGGATGAGCAGCGTAGACGCGCCCGACGGTGGCAGTGATGATCTTGTTGCTGGATGAGGGGATGGCGGATTTCACCTTGGACTTGTCCGAAGACGAGATGGTCGAGGAGGAGGGCATGGCTCACGAGTGGCGATAATGCTTCTCTCCTGTCCAGCGAGCGATGACAATGTACGTCGAGAGCGGGATGAGCAGAGGTATGAAGTAGACGAAGCTGTATGGAAATCGCAGATAGACGGGGCCGGGCGAAGCAACCTGGTCGTCCGTCGTTACGAAAAGCGGCACGACACCGACGAACAGAAGGAGAAGACTAACCGCAATGACGATGTTGGCGCTCCGCAAAAGTGTCGCTGGATCGTTGGATGCAGGTGTTGGCGTTGCTGCTGGGTCGATCGAGAAAGAGTGTTGCCTTTGCCGTCGCTTGTCCACAGCGGTCATACGTGGTGGCAATGTGAGTAAAGCCGTGATGCGGCCCGGAACAACGTCAAGAGAACTGGTCGGAGAGGTGCGATGCCCGGAGTCGCGGACGATGCGTTGGAAGCAGAGGCCAGGTCGATGCTGAGCTGCAGAGGCAATGCTGAGATGATGGAGCAAGGCTGAGTAGATTGTTGGCACACGCGATACTTACAAATGCCATCCGGAATGTCAGTGTCGAGTGGCTTGAAATTCTGAGCTTGGGCCATCCGTCGTGCACTGCCTTCAATGCCCACAAGAGCCACACGATCAAATCATCACTTGCTTGGTCTCGGAATCGGGTGCGAATTCCAATGGTGGACTCCACGATGCGATTATCGGGGGATATTTTACCACAACCTGGCGCTGTGTCTGTGTGGAGCTGTGACCGTCACTCGGACTTCTGTCCACAATCACACGCATTATTAACTTATTTGATCACAAACCTCACAACCATCATATCGGCTGTCCCGCATCCAGTCAGCCTATACAGGGAGTGCCTCTGATCACTCTCGCGAACACATTCTTGCTCAGTCGTCGCAGCGCAATCGCATCAGTCGACCGATCCTCTTCGAAAATCAGCGCGCCTTGCTGTAGTCGTCTCGGGTCTTCCTATCTCGTCCACTACCATCACGCCAGCCATGTCGCTGCCGAAACGTATCATCAAGGTAAGTAGCATCGCAAAAGGGGCCAATATCGAGGTTGCCCAGCATCTGCGAGCTGCCTGTACCGTGTGTCAGCGCTGACCACTTGAAGCTTTCTACATCCCCTCCGCAACGACCCTACGCAACAATCGCTCGGTGATTCGCCCGCTCGATTGTTCTCTCCGCAGGAAACCGAGAGGCTCATTGCCGATCCAGCGCCCGGTATCAGCGCGACTCCTCACGAGGATAACTTGAGATACTTTGACGTTGTCATCTCCGGTCCTGCGCAGAGCCCCTTCGAAGGTATGCTTGACCTGCCGCAGGTCCCGGCCCAGTTAAATGGCGCTACAGACTTCGCCTCGCTATCGACTTTCGACTGACCTCAATTCCGCTCCCAACCTCTTTCCTCCTTCATTCAGGTGGTGTCTTCCGTCTCGAACTCTTCTTGCCGGAAGAGTATCCCATGTCGGCTCCCAAGGTCCGCTTCCTCACAAAGATCTACCACCCAAACATCGACAAGCTCGGCCGCATCTGCCTAGATATCCTCAAAGACAAGTGGTCTCCAGCGCTTCAGATCCGCACCGTCCTCCTCTCCGTACAAGCTCTGCTCTCCGCACCCAATCCGGACGATCCGCTCGCCAACGATGTCGCTGAGCACTACAAGAAGGATGAGAAGGGGTAAGTCGCACGCCCTCGTCTGATTCCTCCGTCGTACCACGCCTGCAATTCGCTAAGCTGACGCTGTTCTCTCCTTTCTCTTGACGCACCCCCTTGTTCACAGAGCAATCGAGGTCAGCAGGCAATGGACGGCATTGTATGCCAAGTGATTCATGATTTGCGTCTTAAATTTCAGCATGGTACAGACTGCAATTGGTCGTGCAATGATGCGTCTTTATCGAGGCTCCGTCTGACTGGTCCGGCCCTTCCGTTTAGCAACATGTTCAGCGCTGCAGCATTCCAACAATGTCCTCGAACTTGGTTCGCGAGATTTGCAATCCGCCGCTGCCTTCCATCTCCGGTACGATCGGATCCTCCTCAGTGCCGTCCAGCATCGAGTGTGTCGGATCGCTTGCCTCGTTCTCCAGCATTGGCAGCCGGATCGACCCTCCGTTTCGTGCTGTCCGGCTTTCGTAGAACGCGATCCACATGAGCGGAACCGCATACAGCACCGACTGCACCGCATAGTTGATCCTTGCATACGTCTCGTGCGACGTCACCCATTCCAGGGGCGCGATCACGAACGCTTCGAGCAGGTTGAAAGGTGGCAGGTAAACGAATTGATCCGGCGCTCTGACCATAGCCACCACCTTCTGGCAGAAGAAAGCCGCATACACCTCGTCAGCCGAGTCGACCACGTCGCTATACGCCGTTCCGAAGAACGCAATGAGGATGTTGAGCAGAATCACCGCAGTGACAAAGCAGTACGCGTAGTAGAGAATGTGGCCGTACGGATAGCCAAAAGCGTCCTCGCTCGTCAGATCAAAGTCGGCTCCACCCAGCACCGATTGCGTCAGCAGATCGACGATCTTCACCACCGCATTATCCACGCGCGATTCATCGGCAGCATCGAGCGCCAAAAATGCATGACCAAAGCCCACCATGACCAACGCCAGGAGCGTGAAGAAGATGGCACTCTCCTTGAACATGCGCAGGATGATCACGGTCAGCGTACCAAAGTACACAAAGCCGTCAAAGACCTTGAGCAGCTGAACCCAGATGAGCGGTGCCACGCACGCCAGAAATTGGAACGCACGCAGCTCGTACGAGTCCGACTTCTTGTCGTGGGCTACGAAGCTGGCTACGCGGAAGCAGAACGACACCAGAAGCAGGCCATCGGTACAGATGTCAATGACTGTCCAGAATTCGATCGCGCCGAGTCCTCCCATCTTTATGCAGCGCGTAGCATCCTCGACTAGATAGCCGGCGGCCATCACCCACAAAATTGCTTCGAACAGGTCGAATGACTTGAGTATCCTCGTCTGCACCGTGAAGATGGCGAGGAAGAAGATCCAGAGGATGATGTTGGTGATGTACGAGTACTTGGGTACCCCCAATCGTGAAGGGTGGAAGTGCGATAGGAAGGCACCGTCGTCCTTTCTGTCGTAGGGCACAAAGTAGGTGTAGCCTTGCGGTGAATACTGTTGCACCAGCGATCCGTCCCAGATGGCTTGCGTTGCCCTCCTCGCCTCGATCGACGACAACACCGGCACGCAATTCTGATCAATAGCCGCCTCCAAGGCCGATGTGGGGATGGCAACGTCGCCGTCGCTCTCGTACCGTCGAAACTTCTTCGTCAAGCACATGTGGTAGCTTGCCGTGCTCGACGAGCTCTTCTCGTAGGAGCTCCTTTCGATGTGAGCGACAAGGCGCTGGACGAGCACTTCGCATGCGATCACTCTGTTGTTGTTGAGGCCGTGGTCCAGCGGCTGTTTCTCGGCATCGCGTTGGAACGTCTTGCGAGCTTCCATCAAGGCGTAAGGCACGGCATCTCCAAAGTCGCCTCCGAGCTCATGAAAGGCCGAAACCACTTTCGAGTTGATGAGGCCTTCGGCGCCTGTAATTCTCGCTTCATCGATGTCTCGATCGATGAGTCGCGCGACCAAGGACCTCGTTCGGCGGATCAGGGCTGAGATGATGGCGGGATGCACATCGAGCTCGACGTCGAGCTGTCGAAGCGGCTCGTGCGCGTCCACCGATGTCATTCTGGACGACAAACGGCGAGGTCTCGGCCTAGCGATAAAGTGATATGATGGTGTCCGAAAGCAGGGTTGGCAGCTTGGACCAAATCTGGATGCACAGACCTCGGAACAAAAAAGTTGGCACCATCGGAATGCAAAACGCGTTTCATGCAACCCGTCATCTTCGTCTTCTTGCTCTTGTGGTGGAGGACGCAAGCCAGGGACCGGTCACACGACCGATTGTCCTTGGCAGCGTACTTTCCACGACCAACATGTCATACAGGTCAGCGCATCAAATAAGGAGCGCTACATGCTCATGCGGTCTTGGGCAGCATGAGAGTAGCACAGAGTTATGCGTATGAAACACAGACGTCTCCTTGGCCACTCTCGGAAGGCGCTGGTAAGTAGCTGCGTGGTCGCCCTTCGTCCGCGATGTCGAAAGGAGGGGCAAACCCCGTTGATCTTTGCCGCTTTCGTATCCACTCGATCAACTTGAACAAGTCCAATATATGAATAATGCTTACAAGTGCTGTTCGATGAGTGATCTTCTCCAGTTAAAATATTATGATATACATTCGGCGTTTGAGCGCTCGAACGGCGGCGGTTTCGTCCAGCAAAGGCAATAAAATGACGGCCATAAATATATGTAGTCGTCTCCCATCGATGGTTGCACGACAACATTCTTAATCTTTCGACAAAGACCGACTACCGCATGATATAATTGTTTCAGTGTATTCATTGACAAGGTCTTCTCAAGATAAAACCCTAATCGTCGACCTACATTATGAGTTTCTGTGCCTATACGCGCTTGTCCAGCAGTTTGTTATTAAAATTCCCTTTTTTGTGATCAGCAAACACCTCTTTAGTACAGAATTGTCGTTCATGACATAAAAAGGACCTCTTACACAAAAATCTCAACAGCATTGTCAATAGCGTGTGTCGGTAAGCAAGCTGGTCCAAATTCATGATCCTACTGGAGCGACGAAACACAGCGCGTCAGAATGAACCCTAGGCCTTCATCATTGTCGAAAGTAACCGCTCATTAAATTGCAGCACCAAATCCACTATGGGAAACTTGGCAACAGTTTGAAAACCCCGTAAATGAAACTAGATACTGCGGATGATTTCGGCCGTCAATATTGTTGCAAGGAAAGGACTCACGCTAAACAATTCGTAGGTTCAGAATATTTCACATCAAACAAAAATTGTAGTGTTGTAGATCTGGACACTGCAGTCATCGGGTTCGTGAATGATTTCATGAATGTTGGTGAATGGTTTCAGCGTTCAGGATTGCGATCACGGGAACTAGCACCATTGTGTGCCGACGTTGACTATTGCGTCACGTCTTGTCTTCTCAGCGCCCGCGACTTTGTGGTTGTCGTGAGGGTCTTGGAATCGCCATGACGATAGATACGAATAAAATCGTGTGTCGTTCTTTCGTCAAACAAAACTCTTAGTTCAGTTTCAATGCAGTCAATTATGGTTAAACGAGCGAATTTGCACATCTTGGTGAAACTCACCTATTTTTTCCAGGTGACTCGCCAATCCGGATATTAGGCAAAGCGAAACGAGACACGCCATCGCGTCTCGCCGCCACGCCCGCGAAAGTCAGAATTTGTCTCTAAGTGCGAAAAGATGCACACATTACGGTCGCGATGTAACACGAAGCCGTTGGACCAATCAGATCCTCTACCCCACAGGCACCGATAAGACGACTCGAGAGATAAGGAAGCGCTTCCGAGACACACGTTCGAAGAAGTTGAGTTGAGCCGGTTCCTGAATTGCAGCATCCACGGCTGCTTCTTCATCGACATCACCATCACAGCATTTAACAAGACCGTCAAGACAACAAGAGTGCACCTGCCGGACATCACTAGCCGTTGCTCCGCGATCGGCGCTGTGTCGCCTCCAGCCCATCGTCTACAGTTCACGAGTGCGACTCCCTTGCATCGGCTTTCGAAGTAGGCCAGATGGCAGGAAGCGCGAGTCCGATCGCGGGAGGCTCCAAGGAGACGCTCGTCCCTTACAAGCGGAGCCAGCGACCATCGTGGTCTTGCACCGAATGTGCGCGCCGAAAGATACGATGCGACAAGAAGGTGCCTTGTCAATCGTGCGTCAAGCGTGGCAAAGCCGAGCATTGTCGGCTCGAGGGCGCATCTTATACGCTGGCTGGCCCGTCGTCTCAAAAGCTCGAGTCACCCGATCAGCAACAGAGGGATTACGACACGTCCTTGCATCTCAACACCACGCCGTCTGCACCGCGTCGAAGGCTTTCTGCAGCGGTTGAAACGCCGGGCAACTCGAGCCAACTGGCCCAGGATGGAACGGATCTCTTTTTGCGTGGACTCTCAAGACTACAGACGCAGCTCGATCGCATCGAAAGGCGCCTTAACGATCAAACCAAGCATGACGAGTCAATCGAAGACGTGAAGGCTAGACTCAATGATGTAGAGGAGGTCATATCTGTGCTGGGTGACAATAGGGCAAGCTGGGCAAAGTCAGAAGCAGCTTCCACCTCGAATGGGCGCACACCGCTAGACGACGTTGCACAGGGCTTGGACAGCGACAGGCCACATACCGTCAGTGCTGCCACGCCACGATCAGCAGGGCAGGCAGCGCATGCACTGAGCGCTGGCCTGCCGGCGAGTCGGCCACAAGGACGAAATGCGGAATTGGCCTCGACAGATGCAGCTACGACTCTGGAGTTTCTCACACTCGGAAAGGACAGGCGGCGCGATGTCAACTTTGACGTGGGCTCCTCGGATAGCGAAGGCGAGTCTGGGCTTCCGGAAAGCCCAGGAGCCGCTGACGATCAAGTTCGGACCTCGACGCGGCAAGATACCCGCGACACTGAGGCAGGAGCATCCGAGAACGGCTTTGATGGTAGATCGCGAATGCTCAAACATCTTCGTCGAGGGCTGCCTGCCAGCACAGTCTTCCGGATTGACTCCCTGCTGAAGTCGCATCGCGACAATCTGCCACCATCAAATTTGCTGGCGAGACCGGCTGCCAAGCCGATCACGGACGGCATCAAAGCTGCGACGCTGACTGCGACTACTATCCGCCGCATCGTCGAGGTGGCAAAGGAGATTGGCGCTTGGCAGCATTGCTGCGTGCACTTTCCAACGTTTGAAAAGGAAGTCGAGGCTTTTGTCGCCATAGCCGTATCAGAAGAGAGCGAAAGCGAATACGAAGGGTATCGAGCCATCGACCCTGCCTGGCTCTCGCTCTTCTACGTTATCAGCAGTATCGCCATTCATCAGATGTCAGAAGAGGAAGGGGCTTTTTGCGGTCTCGGCTCCGAGACAGAGCGTACGCGATTCGCCTCGGTCCTTCTGCATGCAGCAATGGAGGCGCTTTCCCTGGCCGACTACCTCGTCAAGCCCTCGGTGTACTCGTGTCAGACTATCGCGATTCTGTGTGTGGCAGGCCACAACATCTGTGGAAGTGATCTGCTAACTTCGCTCCTCGCCATCGGCATCAAGACCGCCCAAACGCTCGGCTTGCACGCACTCGGGCGGACAGCAAGGTTTCTGGAGGCGTGCGCGGTCCAGCGTGGTCAGGTGCTGTATCGCGCAGGCATGCAATGCGAAGACGCAGGCTCATGTCGCCTGCCGGACGAATCTCGTCGGCAGTTCGCCATCTGGAAGAAGCGCATCATTGACCTTGAAGTTGGCAAGCGAGTCTGGTGGGCTTTCACGCAGCAAGATTACTTTGCCATCCCATTCAGTGGTTGTTTTTCCATCGTCGAAGGACAGTACGACACACCCTTACCTCACAATTGCTCGGACGAGGACTTGGAAGAAGGTCGATTGATCAATCGGGATGTCAACGTGCTGACCGTAGCATCCAAGCAGCGCTTCACTTGCCATGTCGCAAAGATTGTTTGCGACTTCTTCGAGGACCTCAACAAGACGCGGGAGATGCCTTCTCTATCGTTGGTCAGACACCACGAGGATCGTCTTCGATTTGTGACGAAGCGTTTTCAAGCTTGTATCGATCCCACGCAGTCAGCATCCCGGCAGGGCAAAGATGCTTCCTTGCCGAGCTTCACAACCGTCTTGCAGCACTATCTCTTCATCTCGGTGCAACACAAGATCCTGGTGATGCACCGCGCTTTCCTGTCTCGAGATGTCTCAGCGGAAGAAAGGGCGCTGTCACATGCCGCCTCGATCGAGACTGCTCGTGGAGTACTGCACGAGCTCGAGCGCGGACTAGGTCTCAGTGCTGACGATGACGACAGACCGCAGCTGGACTTGCAGTCGCGAGTGCATGGAGGAGCGCTGTGGACCATTCCGTATCACTCGGTCGCCGCAGTCACAATCTTAGCGCTCGACATGTTTGAGCCAGCCTCGGATGGCCAACAGCGTGCTTTGCGACGCCAGGAAGTCAGACGTGCTCTCGAAGCACTCGGTCGCTTCACACGCAAAAGTGCCATTGCACGCAGAGGATGTCAATTGCTTTCGGATCTTCTCGCAGAAGGCGAGCGCTACGATCGACAACCCGGACAGCCAAGGAAGCGCAAGAACACTGATGGAGTTGACTCGGTCCTCAAGCGTATTAGATTGCCGGAGGGAGAAGATGGCCCGCAAGCGGCATCCGAAACCAAGCTGGGCAACGGTCTGAGCAAGACGGCATCAGCGGCAGCAGAGCCGATCGTGGATCCATTGTACGCCAACAACGCCTCGAACGATCCTACGTTGGAGGCGAGCTGGTTTTCGCACTTCAATCATGGTTCCGTACGCTCGGACGTGTCTTCTGCCCTGCTCGAAGGCACATCGCCGGACGACGAGCACGCTGGACTCTTTCCGAGCGCCTCTTTCGGTTACGGATCGAGCAACTTCAATCCGCTTGCCGGCAATTCGACGTCGCGGGCCGGACACAGCGTCTCGTTCCAGCCCGGCGAAGCAGCAAATTCATTATCGAGCATGTTCATGTCGTACACGGGTGGACCGACCAGCTCCGCGCTCACACTCGACGCTAGCCCCTCGAATGGCATGCAGAACGAGACGCGCGATGCCAGGGCCTCGACAAGAAGCGCTGCGCCATGGGGAAGCCACGATCTGGAGACGGCTCGAGGATCCAACCAGGCTGCTGCAGGTCAAACTTGGTCTGCCGGACAGCCGAGCACGTCACTGGATGGAGGACAGGCCAATATCCCGGGGATGAATCTCAACATGCCTCAGCAACAGCTGGCACACATTCTCCCAGCGCTCGAGTCGATGCCGGACGTCTGGAAGTTGTTCGACGGCACATTGGGCCAAAGTCTGGTCGCATTCGAAGAGAGCGGATTCTGACGTCTTCACTTGAAAGCGGGACAAGCTGATCGAGCACAAATACGATTGTTTTCAACGGAAGGCAGAGAGGTCTGTGCAGCGTTCATTTGGTCTGTCTGGTACGACTGGCTTGGCAGATACATATTCTGGAGATGTCGTGAATGAAAGTGAGATGAGACTGAGCTCACTCGGAGACCTCGTCCTTCGCAAGCGTGATCTGCTGAGCAACAGCACGAGCGACTTCGTCCCAGACCTCGGCGTCGCGATATGGCCTCTCGTGGGTTCCCGTACCGCTGCCGCGGTTTTCGATCGCACTCTCGCCGAGACTGACGCCGAGACCCGGAACGACAATATCTTTCGATGCTCGGCCTTGACCGTTGGCGGCGGGCGCTCGTTTGGAGTCGACGGGCTCAAAATCGAGCGCGTCCGGAGGATGGAACCAGTAGTTGAGCGCCATGTGCACCTTGCTGGCATCTGTTGTTTGATCGTCGGCTTCTTGTTGGTCATGCAGAGGTGGGAGTGACGAAGACGTGACCTCGTGATACCAGCTGGCAGGAAGGTAGAGCATTTGGCCCGGTTTCAGAAACACTTCGATGGGTGGTGGACAACCAGGGATGAGAGAGTACGGCTCAGCCGCTGCGGCTTTTTTGTTGCGCGCGCCCGCGACACCGTTCCTCTGACTCGGAATGGGTCGTGACGGATCGTCGGGAATGTTGAGGCAACGATGCAAGACGTGAGGTGGGATGCGCGAGAAGCTTTGAGGCTCGTTCTCTTCTTCATCGTCGTCAGCATCCGACTTAGCTGGAGCATCGGCTGGCTGCTCGGCCATGGCTAGGAGGCGCTCTAGTTCGGCTTCGCCTTCATCCACGTCGCCGAACTCGGAGCCAGAGTCAGCACCCAGAAAGCCGGGCTCTTCGCTATCGCCCGACTCTGACTCTTGAGCCTGATCGTCGGATGCCTCGCTGCCGGTCTCGCTGTCTCTAGATGACGAAGCTGTGTCGTCGATATCTTGAGCCACCAGGGCGATCTTGACACGTTTGACAGGAGCTGGAGAGTCATCGGACTCGACAGTGTCGGATGCTTCTTGGCCAGGTCGGTCGTGCGGCTCTTGAGTTCCGTCTGGGGACGACGAAACTTTGCGTTTGCGAACGAGGCCATTGGAAGCGACAAATCCGCCAGGTGAAAGCGCTTCGAGACCTTGATCGGCGTCTTCAGACGATGACTCGGCCTCATCGTCGTCGAGGCTCTCGCGCTCGAGAACAGATCCTTGCTCTGCTTCAGACAGAGAAGCCTGAGGGTCGTCGGAATGCTCCGACTCGGCGACGCTCTCGAGGTAGGCACGAAGCTGTTGCATGGAAGCTGCATCGCCTGCGAGCGCCGCCACACCGATGTGTTTGAGTGAGTCGGGGAGGGACTTCAACAGCAGGCGGGCTTGATCATCATCATCGTCGTCGTCGTCATCATCATCATCTTCATCGTCGACGGCCGGATCGTTGTTGTCACCGCTGAGTAGGCCGTCGTCTTCGTCGGAAGCATCTTCTTCTGAAGAATCAGCGAGCTGATTGGCGTTCGCGTCGACTAGGGAATTCAAGAGACCGTCAATATCGGCGTCGGCATCATCCTCAAAGTCGAATTCTTCGTCGAGGCTGTCATCTTCTGGGTCGATACCTTCTTCGTCCATTCGACAAATGCGGAGCTCTGCTTCGGCTTGTAGGAAAGCTTCTTCTGCGAGCTCTTGAGGACGGGTTTGCTTTGCTTTGCCCTTGCGTTGGCTCTTGTGACGCGAGCCTTCGCCGGCGTCGGCAGCGGCGAGTTCGTCGATTTCGCGCTTGATTCGGAGACGAGCTTTGCGACGCCATCTTGCTGCTTCGGAGGGAACGAGGCCGTCTGGACGTATGGGGAGTTGTGGCTTTCGGCCAGGGACGGACACATAGGAGGGAAGCTCGCCGGGCGGTGTGTAGACGATAAGGCCGTTGGGATAGACCCTGTCGATGATACCGCGAGGATGGAGATATCGATGTGCCGAGGGAGGGAAGAGGAGGAAGCGTTTGTAGCCGGAAAGAAGTATGTAGAGGTTGTCGTGGAAGTCGTGATGCAAGCCGGAACTCTTGCCCTGCTTGCTGTTGCCGAGCCACAAGTTGCACTGTTGCAGGACGAGGTTACCAAGGATGGACGGACTAGCTGGAAAATCGTGAGAGAGCGCATTGGTGGGGGCGGGCAGGACATTGTCGAGCTCGGGCTCGTATCCATCCTCTTCCCTGTCGGGATCGTGAAGAGCGGTGGGCGGGGCGGATTCGAGGTCGTCACCATCCTCGACGTACTGGGTGGTGAGGTACCACTGGCCTGTGCTGTCGCTGCTTTGAAGTGTATCAATGAATTCGGAGAATTGGACCTTTTTGCGTTTGACGGAGGTGCCGAAGTGACCGGCGGAGGGATGAACGGGCTCGATCTTGACAGGAACGTGACCTGCTGTTGACCTGAGATAGTCGAGATCGGTCCATTTGGAAGCGTTAAAGTCTGGATCTTGAAGCAGACCTTCAATGATGACCGGACGACGTTTACTTATGAAGTGAAGCCACATCTCGGCTGGCGTGATCTGATCGGTGACTTTTGGAATCTCTGGTTTGGAGGACGAGGGCTGCCACCCCTCGTAGGCGTCGAGGTGGACGGGCAGCGGAGGCACCCTGAACATTGTGGTGGATTGGTAGCATGTACCTCAGCCAGCAGGAAGCGATCTAAGGCCCGCACGCCAACGACGATACGGAATGAAGCGAAGCTCAACCTCGCCGAGGCATGCCTACCAGTGATTCAGATGGTGCTGTCGGCGGGCGGCGGCGGCTGCGCAGCTTCGTAGACCAGGGGTGCGGGATCGGAATACAGCGAAAGACTGAGTCCGTACAGATACGGAGACCGGTATCGAAGGGTGTGCTGCTGCTGAAGAAAGTGTTGGCAGTGAAGGTACTCATTGAAGGGTTAAAAGATAACGACACGCTGCTGCTCAGTCAATTTTTTTGGAACGAGAAGCAGAACCGTGCAGAGCAAACTGACTAGACAGAGCGGCTGACTGTAATCTGACTTGCACGTCTAAAATCACCGAAACAGAGAAAAAAAGGGAAGATGGACCCTGAACCGATTGCATACAGTCGAGATGGGAGTGCGCATTCATCACCCGATCCAACAAGCTGTCGGCTGATCCGATCGATCTGAGCAAAGCGGCTTTGTGACGGAGCCGACCGACCAAAAAGCGATTATTCGCGTTCTTCGCTTCTTCCTTTTGACCTGGAAAACTGCGGTACGAGCACCGAAGCGCAAAGTCGTTCATTCTCTCCTCGGAACGCCTCTTGTTCTTCCACCACCATCTTCTGTCGCCATCAACATGGTGATCATCTAAGGCGTCGGCTCTGCGCCTAGTCATTCCGTTTCTTCTTCTCTCCAGGTTCCTTGTTGTCACGTCTGTCCGCTATCTCGTATCGTATTTGCTTTGCTACTGCCCCGTCCTCCCTCGTCTTCCCCCAGCTGCCCCAGATACCCCGTCATTTCGACGCCATGTCGAGCATCACCAGCTTCGGCCGTGCTGGTCACGATTCCGACGTCAAACTAGCCAGCGAAGAGCAGCTTGCTACCATCCGCAGAATGGCCCAGATCGTCGCACGCATCTTCTACGAAGATCGACACGTTGTCCTCATGGATCAGCTCGTCAGCATCACTGTTCTTCCAGCCGACATTCTCGCACATCGCCTCGGCATCCAGGTCAAGGAGCTCGCAGCTCTTTCGTCCAAGCTGTTGGAGGACAAGCTTATCTGCACGTTCCGCCGAAACGAGATCAGAGACGCCATCACGAATCGTAGCGTACCTCGAACCTACTACTATCTCGACTTCAAGCTGTTCCTCGATGTTACAAAGTGGCGCATGATGTCGATCCGCAAGAAGATCGACACTCGCCTCCGAAACGAGCTCGACAACAAAGGATACGTCTGTCCCAGGTGCAAAAAGTCATACTCCACCCTCGAGGTGGCGCATCTGCTCGACATGTTTCGCAACGTCTTTGTCTGCGAGACTCCGGGATGCAGCACCGAGCTCGTCGACAACGAAGAAGCAGAGGACGTCAAGAGGAGCAAGGACAGTCTCATGCGCTTCAACGAGCAGCTATCCACCTTGCTCGGAGGTCTCCGTCACACAGAGGGCATCACGCTTCCGCCTCTCGATGTCGGCGCTTGGCTCACCAAGCATGCCGCTTCACAGCCTTGGTTCGCCAACAGGTCCGACGACGCTTCTTTCGCTCCCTCCTCCTCGACTGTCAACGGTGCTCCGGCTCTGCACGTCGATCTCGCGTCCAACGATCCGGCGGCCGAAGCCGCTCGTCGACTCGCCAAGCAGAAGGCAGAAGACGAACAGCGAAAGCAGAACGCCCTTCCCGCATGGCACCTTGCCAGTACCGTCAGCGGCGAGCAAACCGCTCTGGGTCGCAAGCAGCAACGTCTTCACTCTTCCAATGGCTATGATGTCGACGAGGGCAAGGAAGACGACGACGCCGACGATGACGATTACTATGCGCAGTACGCCAGCTTGCAGACAGCAGAGGCGGCCGCAGCCGCAGCAGACTCGTCATCCAAGCCCAGTCAAGCACCTTCAGTTGATGAGGAAGATTTTGAAGACTTCGAACCTGTCACACAACCACCGGCCGATGCGAGCATACAGCGAAAGCGATCACGGTCTGCCTCAGCCAGTGACGCCGACAATAAGCGCGCCAAGCCTACAACACCCGTGGACTCCGCTGCGACCGGTGCTGCCATGGCAGAGAACGGCGACGACGACGACGATGGCATGGACGACTTTGAAGATGTCGTGTAGCATCTCGTCACACTGCCATTCGATACCCTTACAGGAAGGACTGTGCTGACCTGTTGCGTTTGACTCTCACCATGAGGCGATCACTTTCCTTTCCCACTTCGATCCTCACCCTGCTTCTACTTCCTTCCCCTTTCCATCCGTCTTCATGACACACATGCTGGGTCTTAAGAGCACCGAGTTTTGGAGCACATTGTCCTTTCTAGGCGAGTGCGCTCCCGTGACCGGGGTTTGAGTCATAGCCTAGCGACAGCAACACATTCATCTAGTCTGGATTCGTTTCGCCTTGCTGCAGCTCCTCTGTGAGGTTTTGCTGCGGCGATTGGCGACGAGCTCCTCTTGCAGGAGCGATAGCGCTCAGGCGTGGCAACTTTGCGGCTCTTTTGCAACTGAGGATGCAGTCCCTCGGCTTGGTTTTCCAGGACCGTCGGTGTCGTCTGCGGAGGTCATCAGCTGCCGGAAGCGTCTGCTTTTTGTCGACGTTCGCCCAAGCCAGGGTCGCTTGAAGTCCAGGTCTGTGAAGACATTCAACCCCTCTTTTCCCACGGCATCATTTCGATCATCTTCCCTACTGAGACCATCCAGTACGTTGTCGTTGAATGCCTGTAGAAGGTTCACCAGTGGATATAACTCCGCAGAATCCATTGCAATGTCAAGGACCTAGTTGACATCAAATAACTCAAGTCGGTTCTGTGCGGTGCGAAACAGAAGCTCCACGTCAGACACGGCGGAGCAAACAAAGCACGTTTCTTCCCTGTGGGCTCTCGGCAATGAAAACGGCTTCAGACCCTGAGCATCTTGCAATTCTTCTTGGCTTGCACGGTCCACCCTCATGCAATCCTCTCTTCTCACCCATCAACCAAGATCATCAATTCGCAAGTGCGAGACATGACCACGCTTGCCACAGCAGCCTTCGTGCTGCCACTGGGCACACTCGCACTGGCACTTCCGCCGTTGCTTCAGCTGGAAGCATCGCAGCTTCACTATGCCAGCGGTCCCATGTGGCCGCCATTCCGGTGGCTGGCAGAGCTTTTCCTCGCCTCGCAACCTTCGAAGCTCACCAGCATACTCGATTACGCCCTCACCCCGGCGCAGCGACGTTCGATCCTCTACTACGACGATGCGTTTCCGGGTCTGTTCGCCGCCATCGGTCTGTCGTTGATAGGGTATTGGGCAACGAGCGTCGCCATCTCGAAGACGAAGGACGTCTTCTTCTCGCGTGGATTCAAAGGTCGAGATCTTCTCAAGAACAAGCCGGAGCCTATCCCGGAGAGTCTCGGACTGCCCACAGCAGCGGTGTACATGGGATTGCTGTTCTTGCTCATCCCCTTTCGATACTTCTCGTCTCGATTGCAGGGGGTGTACAAGACGGGCGATGATTGGGAAGGTAGGATGGATGGAAGGGGTGGATTCCCGCATCACGAGTTGGCGACTTTTCTCTCGGCACTGCTGTCGTTCCTATCCGCGATAGTGTTGGGCTTCTTGGACGACGTGTTCGATATTCGGTGGAGGTACAAGTTGCCGATTCCGATCATTTCGAGCATCCCTTTGCTTACGGTCTACTATGCGGGGGGAGGGGGCACTTCGGTCGTTGTTCCAGGATGGCCCGGCGTGTTGAGACGATGGATCGGTTCGAGCATCCTGGAACTCGGTCCACTCTACTATCTCTACATGTCGCTCCTCTCCACCTTCTGCACCAACAGCATCAACATCATCGCCGGCATCAACGGCGTCGAAGTCGGTCAGGCCATCGTCATCTCCCTCTCGCTCTGCCTCAACAGCCTGCTCTACCTCGACTCGCGAGCTGGGATGCCCGGATCGCGATCCAGCAAGGAGCTTCTCCGTCGACACTTGCTCAGTCTCTATCTGCTGTTGCCGTTGACAGCCGTGTGTTGTGCTTTGTTCTCGTGGAACAGGTATCCAGCGAGGGTGTTTGTTGGCGATACGTTTTGCTATTTCGCCGGGATGGTCTTTTCGACGGTAGGGATTTTGGGACACTTTAGCAAGACGGTGTTGCTGTTCTTTGTTCCACAGATCTTCAACTTCCTGCTCAGCTGCCCACAGCTATTCGGTCTGGTACCGAACCCACGGCATCGAGTGCCTCGATACCACGCCGAGACCAACTGCGTCTATCCTTCCATCCAATACTTTGGCTCCGGCGACGTCGAGGCGGATAAACAGCTAACCAACACGTCCTCCCGACCTTTGCGTCCTGCAAGCACCATCTCCACCTTGGTACTCAAGCTGCTTGCCGCGTTACACCTGGTGCAGCTCGACTTCTATGACAAATATCACCGTCGAATCAAAAGCACAACCAACCTCACCATCCTCAACGCCATCCTCGTCCTCAGAGGCGTCCACCACCTGCCCGATTCAACCACACATACAAAACCCTTCAAAGGACCCCACATCACAGAGTACGGCTTATGGCTCCACACCATGGTGTTGCAGGTCGCAGGATCGTGTCTCGCCTTTGCCATCCGCTACTGGCTCGCTGGCATCGTGTTTCCATGAATAGAAAAAACCGCTTTGTCCCGTGCCTTTCGTCCGATTCACGCAGCTTCGAATTCATGAGCCGTGAGCACCCGAAACACAATCACACAAGTCTGACAATGAGTAGGATCGAGCAATGGTATTGAAAGAGAATGTACAGCTTGAAACAGAAAGGAGTCGAGTCCAAAGGAAGGTTGAAACAACGGAGCATCCGCGAAGGAGAATAAATAGATAAGAGGAGAGGGGCCCTGTCGGACAATCACAACGCTTGAACAAAGTCTGGAAGGATATCGAGTCGGAAGCTCCTGGGATATCAGTACGTAGCCGCGTGTCTCGAGACCTCGCATGGATTGCGGTCAAGAGTGAGATGCGTGACTAGCAGGGTTTTATGCCTCCTTGGCCTCGGCCTCGGTGGCCTTCTCCTTGCCAGCAGACGAAGCGCTGCGGTTGAGGCCGTCCTGGGAAGGCTCGCCGGCCTGAGCCGACTCGCCCTTCTTCTCGAGGAGGTAGCCGTTGGGGCCAACCTCGCCCTGGGAAGCGGCACCGCCGGTGTACGCGGGAGCCTCTTCCTCCTTCTGGGCAGAGGTGGAGGCACCGGCGAGGGCGGGGGCGGCGTGGGGCTCGTTCTCATCGGCGGCCTCCTCGTACTCGTCCTCCTCCTCCTCGATGGAGCTTCCGTCCTCCTCCTCCTCGTCCTCCTCCTCGGAGCGGTAGCCGGCAGCGCGGACGGCGGCAGGGACGATACCGGAGCGGTCCATCTGCTCCGAGGTGGTGAGGTAGACCTTGGAGAGCTGCTTGATGTCGTTCCACCACTCCATCATCTCCTCGTGGCTGCGAGCACGGAAGGTGTAGGCGTGCTCGCGGCCCATGCCGAGGCTGGCGAGGCCCTTGGAAGGCACAGCCGACTGGTTGCCGGTGACCTTGCGGCCCTCGATGTGGAACTTGTGGCTCTTGGCAGCCATAGTGGAAGGGGGGCCGAGGGTGCATTCAGGCAAGAAGAGCGAGAGCTCGGGGGCCGGGTGCTTGGTGGGGTCCGAAGAGCCGTGCTCGTGGAGGTAGCCGGAGGGGGTGAGGACGTAGAAGGACTCCTTGTAGGTCTTGGTGAAGCGCTTCTTGCGCTCGAGGATGCCCTGGTGGACGGGGATGACGGAGGGGTCGTCCTTGCCGGGGTAGTCGATGGTCTCTGGGTTGCGGAGAGGGGTGTCGGGGTCGAGCAGGTGGTCGGAACGGGCGGCGAAGGCGATCCACTCCGAGTTGGGCTGGAGCGAACGCATCTGGACGCCGAGGCTGAGCCAGGTGTCCTGAACCTGGGCCGACATGCGGCCAGACCACTCGTCGAAAGTCTGCCAAGCGCTCTGGATGCTGCGAACGATGCCCTCCTCGAAGTGGGCCGAGTTCTGCTGCATGATGATGATAGACTTCTGGAGAGCGTTCTCCTCGTTGACCTGGCGCTGAAGCTGGCGGAAGACGGCCTGGTTGGCGGCGTAAGGGTCCTCGCGGGCAGTGACGCTCATGGGGGTGTTCTTGAGGAGGGTGATGGAGCGGGCGAGCTCGGTAATCATCTTGGTGGACATCTCACGCTCCTTGGCGACCGAGTTGGCGAGCTTTCCAGTGTCCTGCTGGACATTCTTGATGTGGGCCTTGATCTCGGAACGGAGCTTCTGGAGGTGCTGCACGATGGAGCCCTCGACGGTCTTGGCAAGGTTGGCGTGGTGGTCGGCAATGACGCGGGTCTTGTCGCGGATTCCGTAGTAGATGTCCTGGATTCCATCCTCGCCGAGGAACTGGTTGCCCTCGCGGAAGGGGACCTGGATGACGCCGCCGAGCTTGGTGAGCTCCTTGGCAGTGTTGTACTCGATGTCGGCAATACCCTCAAAGTAGCTGATGAGCTGCTTGGTGATGTGCTTCCAGCCTGTAGAATGAGAATTTTGGAAACAATGTCAGCACGCTGATCTGGTTGAATCTGCACTACGCAGCCAAGAGTTGCAAGCTGGTGTACATTGCTATTGACGCTCGTGTTGGCATAGGATGTACTTACCAGTGAATCGCTCAATGAGGATGTCCGAGGGACGAAGCTCGTGAGGCCCGGTGTTCTTCTTGATGAGGGAAGCGTTGCGGCTGGCAACGGTGGACTTCCTGCTGACCGAGGTTGCCCTGGTCATGGTGGACTGTGCGTCGGCCATTGTGATGTGTTGACGTCGACGACGCTAGAGGAAGGATAAAGTAAAAAGTAGTGTAGGAACGACAAACGGCGAGCGAAATGTAACGTGCTGGCCGGATGGATATGGATGTGATCGTTCGGGGTGATGGTGATGGTGCGAGAGGAAGGATGGAGGAGGAGCGACTCGTATAAGGCGAACTGAGAGACGAGGCAGCGGATGGGTGGCTGGCAACGGCAAGTTCTGGCTGTCGGCGATTGCGATGAGGCAAAACGACAGAGGAAATGACGACGGATGGTGAGGTCGCTGTGCGATGACCTCTGTTCTACAGGCCCAGCATGTGCCGCACTGTCCAGTTTAGTCACCTCGAGAGACATTCCCTGCCGTTTGACTGTTCTGCCGCTGTGACGCAACGGTTGACGGCAGCAGACTGGATTTCCTCCACCCTGTCATCCTTTTTCGGAGCAGAATCGCTCTCAGCCAACACACACACGGAGCACTGGCCGCGTCTTTGGCCTCTTTTTTTATTTATTTTTGGAGCTGGCGTGGAAGATGAGGCAGCAGACAGCGGAATAGCAAAACTGACGGAAGTCGAAATGCCGATGTGGTTCGAGTTGAGCGATGACGAAGGCACGGACGCGCAGCTCCGGTCGGATTCCTTGCGAGGATTTCTGGCAGTGGGTCAGTGTGCGAAATCCAAGGTCTAGACACATACCCACTCGAGTGTAGCAACGTGCATGTCGACGTTGAGCCTTTCTCAAGCCTCGAACACGCCCGCCTCGCAGCTCCAATCGCCGACTCTGGCTGCCACTGACAACCAGCCATCGGCTCTGCTCGGTGGCTCCGCAGCACTGATGCTGGCGTTCGTATTCAATCTCGCTCTTCCTGCAATTTCGCCGCCTCGTCAAGAATAGTTGCTTCGGATCCATACTCCGAAGAGTCAGCAGGTATGGTCCTTCGCTACAGGGTTCACGTCTCAGCAGCCTTGGACTGTGTTGCTTCGGCATCGTGGTATGTTGCATAATGCCAGATCGCTTTGCAGGTTGGCACGGCTGCCGGGCTTCTTGAGGGAATGCCGGCGAATGCAAGAGAGGGCTGCATTCTCGAATGGCGCATTTCACGCCCTGTCGATCCCTTCGTGCGCCTGCTGCAGTCCGGGGTTCACTCTTCTCGGGCTCCAAGACTGACTGATTGATGTACGTACAGGTATCAACGTTTCCTCGTTGCTCGACTTGTCCCCCAACCTCAAGCTTGGCTAGCTGTGCTGTGACGTAGCCCAGCATGCCTTGAGCCGGCGCGCTGCGAAAGTCGCGCTGTGACCTTGCAGTCGGAATGGCTATTTTTGGCTCGCTTCGCCGCGCACTTTGCCTCGGCTCGAGCGGTGCTTGTTTTGTAGATCATTCTTCGCTTCGGCGTCGGCCAGCCGCCACGCTAATCGAGCTACAGTAGGCCGCAGACTCGTCAGTTCTGCAGCGCACAGGGTGAAAGACGCCGGGACCCTGCAAAATACATGCGGGCCTGGTGAGCTCGCTCTCGTAGGTACAGTCGTTCGCATCGGGGGTTGATCGGCTGCTCGGCATGGTGACTGCCAGAGCCAGCATTTTCGTTGACAAAAGAGCCGATTGATATGCGGGGCGATGATTAGGCAGGCCTCTAATTTATGTATCCCAATTTTCTGTCGCCACCTTCAATTCCAAATTCAGTTTCTACTTCCACTTTGAGACGAATGGACTGACAGGAGGTGCACCAGACGTTGGAGGCTAGGCGGCCCTCCTTGTCAGCGTCGACGCCATGAATGAAGCCAACTGTCCACTGTCATATGAGGTCCCGTATCATATCGTCAAAATGCTGCTCTCGTCCGCGTCTGCCAGTACATAACTACATTGAGGAAGCAAGCGAGCGAGCGAGCAAACGATTGATTGAAGGTGAAAATAAACAAGCCCAAGTCACAGCACGCGTCGCGTAAAGAGGCGTGACCTGATGATGCACCTCACGCAAATCACTCCGGACCAACACTTTTTTTTCGAGTCGACAACAACTTGATGGCTGAGTCGACGAGTTCCGACAAAGCGAACGAGGTGCAACTTTTCTCGTCGGAGGTCATTCCGAAGCAACTCGGTCATCAGTCACATCTCTTCTATGCTCATCGCAGCATACAAGCCATATCGGTCCAGCCGATCATCACTCTCATCATCATCACCTCGATGATCCCATCGTTGCAACTACAGGCAGCACGATCACTGCCATGACCATGGACCTCAACGCAGCGCCATCTGCTCACTCGAAGCCAGTACGTCCCAAAGGCACGCTTGGCCTCAAACGAGCCGTCCCTTCGGCCCTCGCCAGCGCTCACTTTGCCTCTCCTTCTCGAGCCGCCCACACCGATCCTGCCCTTACTACCGCTGCTCCCTCCAAAAGGGCGAGACTCGTGCTTCCAACACAACAGCTCGACGCTGACCACGACCAATCAGAGCCATTGCCTCTCGCCACCGTAGGCGGAAACGATACGCCACCTTCACACGCTTTTTTGCTCGGTCGCAAGTCATCCAATCAGGGCTCATCAGCTCACGCCACCAACAATGCAGCAGCGGGCCCGTCCAGCGGAAACGGCCCATTCTACCTATGCACCTGGAGGAAGCCGCAGCAGAAGAAGCACAAGACCTGGGACGGAGATGCCATCCTCGTCGTAAAGGACGGCGGAGAACGGTGCAGTCTCATCTGCTCAGAAACAGGCAAGGAGCTCGTCACTTCGGCTCGCTTCGCTTTCGACCGTCTCTCTTCTGGCGACGAACTGGCGCTCGGTGGCAAGGAGATCGAAATCGATCGCGAGATCGAGCAGCCAGAGTATCGCAGGCTCATTGCATTCACGCGCGGAGAACTCTCTCCCATCAAAAAGGGCCCTCCGCCAACCGCCATACGTACGCCCAAACCGTTCGCAGTACCCATCAAACGCTCCGCCATCAAGCCCGTCGACATCAACCAGATCGCTCCTGCTCGGGCAGAAACCTTCTACGGCAAGACAGCGCCTAAACCCATCCGCAAAGACCTCGACGATGACTCGTCTGCGAGTCCGTCGCGCGTCAGTGGTCTCAGCAACCCGGGTCAGGGCAAAAAGGCCCAGCCTCGCTTCGACCCACACGAACCAGGTGCCATCGTCATGAAACGACCGGACGAGGGACATCAGCACAGGCACAATCCCAAAGGACGTCCAATCGTCGACGTCGTACTAGATCCGCAGCTCACCAAAGCGTTGCGGCCACATCAGATCGAAGGCGTCAAGTTCCTGTACGAGCGCGTCATGGGAATGCACGCCGACGGTACAAAGGGACACGGCGCCATCCTGGCAGACGAGATGGGACTCGGCAAGACGTTGCAGACCATCGCGCTCGTCCTCACCCTCATGAAGCAGTCCTGCTACTACACCTCGAAATCCTGCACCATCGAGCGTGCCATCATCGTCTGCCCCCTCACGCTCGTCAAAAACTGGAAGCGCGAGTTCCGCAAATGGATCGGCACCAACTCTCTCAACGTGCTCTGCATCGACGAAGGTCGCGGTCGCGAGGATGTCGAGCGCTTCGCACGCTCCAGGGCCTACCACGTCATGGTCATCGGCTACGAGAAGCTCAGGAGCTGCATCGACGTTGTCAAAACCGCATCGCCACCTGTCGACCTGATCGTCTGCGACGAGGGCCACAGGCTCAAGTCCAAGGACGCGCAAACCACGCAGATGTTTGAAGAGCTCAAGACCGAACGCAGGATCATCCTCTCCGGCACACCCATCCAGAACAACCTCTCCGAGCTGTACGCCATGATCGACTTTGTCAGTCCTGCGCTTCTGGGCACTCCGGACAACTTCAAGGCGCTCTTTGAGGAGCCTATCGTGCGCTCGCGCGCCAAGCACGCCTCCAAGCAGACCAAAGCCGTCGGTCAGGCGCGTCTCGGTGCGCTTACGACCGTCACGAAGGACATCATCTTGCGACGCACCGCCGAGATCCTTACTCAATTTCTGCCACCCAAGAAGGAGATGGTGCTCTTTTGCAGTCCGAGCCAGGAGCAGGTGCGCATCTACCAGTCGATCCTTGGCTCGAGCGAGGTGCGTTCGCTTCTGCAGGGTGGTGGAGCGGGCAACGGTCTTTTGCAGATCGGCGTGCTGCGCAAGCTTTGCAACAGCCCCGAGCTGCTGCTCAAAGACACCGAGGCGGATGCGGACAGCCCGACGAAGACGCTCGTCGGCGATCTGACCCGGTTCTTCCCACCCAACTTTGTGCGCAACGAGGCGAGGTTCAGCGGCAAGCTCATCTGCGTCATGAACCTGCTTGAAACGGTGCGAGCGCAGACGGATGACAAGGTGGTGTTGGTCTCCAACTTCACCAGCACGCTGGATATCATCGAGGCGATGATGAGGAAGAAGCGCTACCCGTACCTTCGACTCGACGGCAAGACCCCGCAGGACGAGAGGATGGCGATGGTCAACCAGTTTAACCGCGAAGGTGTCGACAACTCGTTCGTCTTTCTGCTGTCGGCCAAGAGCGGCGGTGTGGGTCTCAATTTGATTGGTGCCAATCGGCTGGTGCTGATCGATTCGGATTGGAACCCGTCTACGGATCTGCAGGCGATGGCACGTATACATCGAGACGGTCAGAGAAAGACTTGCTACATCTACAGGCTGCTGCTTTCCGGTACCATGGACGAGAAGATCTACCAGCGGCAAATATCGAAACTCGGCTTGTCGGATTCGCTCATGAACGCCGAGAAGAAGTCGTCGTCGTCCGACACGTTTTCGCCGGAAGAACTGAGGGACATCTTCACGCTGCATCTGGACTCGACGTGCATCAGCCACAGACAGCTTCTCTGCGATTGCGACGGGAAAGGTGGGAGCGCTACGTCGGACAAATTGGGACCACTCGGTGGGTTGGGTGATAGTCAGAGCTCGATCAAGAGTGAAGACGAAGACGAGCTGCCAGGGTTTGTGGCTGCTTCGCAGCATGTGGTGGACAAGGCGGCGCAGGATAGGTTGGATCGACGCAAGAAGCTGCTCGCGTTGTACAAGTGGGCGCACTACGACTGCGTTCGTCACCCGGATGACTTTGACGAGGACGAGATTGCCGCTGGACTGGTCCGTAGTGCTGGACAGAGGGGGAGGGTCAAGTCGATGGGTGGGACGCGGGTGAAGGCTGAGTTGGAGGACGAGTGGAGCAGCGATATGAAGGATCGGGAGGACGATCGACTGTTTTTGGCGGGTGATGAGGAGGAGATGGACGGGGCTGCGGTTGCGGGGTTGGGTGGGGAGGATGAGTTCCGGTTGGACGAGGTGGAAGCGGGAAGGATTCTGTTTGTGTTTGCCAAGAACTCGGATCGGACGGTAGACAAAGCCTCGTCGCCTAGCATCACCACTTCGCCTGCACTCGACTAGCCTCTCTTAGAACAGATCTCAAATTGCATTTCGTTCCGCTTTCTACGCCGGAGGTGGATAAAGACATCTACCTTCCATACCACCATCCACCTGCAAATTTACACCGGTAACATGACCGCTCAGCGTGGGACTCGAGAGCACCACAACCTGTCTCGCGACATCTGCGGGCATGGCTACCTTCTGCAACGGAGTGCTAGCCAGCGCCTTTGCTCTCACCTTGTCGTCCTTGATGGTTTCCTCTGCCAAAGGGGTGAAAACCCAACCTGGGTTGACGGAGTTGACTCTTCCCTTGGGAGCGATTCGTACGATTTCATTCTTGAGCGTGGGAACCAGTCCGTACATCAAGGCGGATTTTGTGGAGGCGTAATCGGCGTGATCGTGTTCGCCGAATTTACCGGCTGTGCTACCTATGAAGCAGATGGAAGCGGGATCTGTGGTGGTGGAAGGAAGGTTGGTGAGGGCGGAGAGGAAGGAACGGACGAGGAGGAATGCACCGTCGAGGTTGACAGAGTGGGTGTTGCGCCATTGGGAGAGCGACATTTCTGCCAGCGGGACGGGTTGAACGGGCCAGATGCCGTGGTTGACGATGAGGATCTGCACGGGAAGGCCTTGGGCAGCCTCGGCTTGGGTGAAGAGCCGCGCGACGTCGGATTCGGAAGTGACATCGGCTTGGAGCGAGACTAGGTTCGGGGTGGAAGCGAGCTCGCGGGGGGTGGTGTTGTAGTGGGCGGTGACTTTCGCTCCAGCTGCGAGGAAGGTTTTGGCTGTCTCGAAGCCGATCCCTGTTACGGAGGAGGATGGAAAGAGGGTCTGTCAGAGGGTGTTGCAAGTCTGAGGATGAGGTGCATAACCGGAGGGAGGAGACTTACCGCCTGAAGCACCTGACACGAGAACGTGCACGCCAGCAAGACCAAAGTCGAGCGGCGAGGCGGTGGTGGTTGAAGACATGACGATGCTCGATCGCAAAGTGCAGAGATGGACGTGCCGAACGAGGTTGAGAAGAACAAGACGCGGAGCGAGCATCGGTTGGTGTTGTTCTTCTTTTCCTTGTCGATCCGGTTACATTTGCGATTTCTGATTGCCGCCTAACCGGTCACGCGATCAAGCGACGTCTTAACATTCCCACTCTGGCGCTCTGCTCCAGTCAACCCCAAAGCGGCAGTCGGATAATATTTCCGATTTTGGCGATTCGCGACTCGCATCCGGCTGCTTTCACATCCTTTTCGGACCGGTGACACACTACTCGCTCGCACCACCCTCCTGTGCCATCATCACCACCACCATCACCAACGGATCTCATCCTCGCGTTCTCGAAGAGTCGCGTGTGCTGGCGCGCAAAGTCTCCACCATGCCGTCGGTGCAACAGCTCAGAACCAAAAACGCACAGGCGGTGCACGAAAAGCACCTCGATCTCGTCTCCAAATACCAATCCCACCTCTCCTCCGTCGAAAAGCTGCACAAACTCGCCAAATCTCAGATCGTCGACACCGTAGCCTCGGAACTCGATCTGAACGACGAAGGCAAAGCGCGCGTCCTGCTGTACCTCTCCGACTTTGCCAACCTGTTCCGGTTCTTGCGACGTTCGCGGTACGATGAGCAGCAGGCGATCGCTCTGCTCAACGCTACGTTGCTCTGGCGTATGCGAACCGATCTCGACCTCCTCTCCCTCTCCTCCCTCAACCCGCTGTACGTCACACCGCCGTCTCCGAACCCACCACTGTTCTGGGTCAACACAAAGTTCACCGATCTCTACGGTAGACCTTGCGGGATCATCAACCTCAGAAGCGTCGAACGAACGGCGGACAACTCTCTCGATCAGCTCAAGGAGTACATCGTCGCTTGCATGGAGATGATGCGTAGGTACGTCTCCGACCTCTACCGCGCCAGCATCGATTCCGACCATCGCGAATCAAACAAGGTGGTGCTGCAGGCTTCGATCGCCGTCGATCTGGCTTCCAGCGGAATGGCGAACCTCGAATTGGAACTCTTGCCCTTCCTGCTGGATCTACTGAAGAACCACGTTCCGGGGATGGTAGGGGCGGTGTACATCCTCAACTACGGCTGGGTGCATGCGGGGATGTGGGCGGTGATCAAGCGTGTTTTGCCGCAGCAGGCGTTGGCCAAGATCTTCTTCCCAAGCCATGAAGAGTTGAAGGAGCATTTCGACGTGCAGAGCATCCCTAGGTGCTACGGCGGAGAGTTGGATGTGGGAGTGGAGAGCGGGACGAACGATGTTCTGCGCAAGTATGGGAAGCCCAGACGGGCGAGCGTTGCGGCTACAGCGGCGGGGGGTACACCACCGCACAGTCCGGGTGTGGGTCGGATGATGAGCAGGACGAATTCGTACGACAGCATCTACGAAGTCTTCTACAGCGCGGATTCGACTCCCTGGGCGAGCAGACCGATCACACCGAGGCAGAGCGAGCCTTCGACGCCGCGAGGCGCCGGTCCGGCGGACGGCTCGACAGGCGGACCGCTCAAGATGACGCCGAGCGCAGCGAGGAAGTTGAAGCACCTGCAGATGTCGAGGGGCGATCTATCGAGTGCAGCCGAGACGGCGCAAGGCGGTCGATCCAGATCCGGGTCCGAGATCAGGATCGTGGATGGGAAAGCGGTCGGTCTGAGCGTTACCACTCCTGCAGGTGGTGGTGTCGGGTCGCCGTATGCGACGCCGAGCATGACGCCGGTGGGACCGTTGAGTCCCAGACTGCAGAGGATGCGGAACCCGGATCGCCACGTACGCTTCTCCAGCGACGAAGCTCCGCCGAGGCGCGTCGGTGCCGGCACGAGCAACTTCACCCTCTACCTACCGGAACAGGTGGACGAAGAGGCGCTCCTCAATTCCGAGAGCGAGGATTCCGATGCCAGCGGTAAAGACGGCGAGCTACCTTCCGCTTCGACCGCTTCGACGGGCGGGTTGATGAATCGACTGCGACGGTTCTCCGAAACGCGATTCACCGCAAAACCCACCCCGGAACCACAACGGGACACGGACGACGACGCGGCGGCAGCAGACGGGACGATCATGTACATCGAACCCTCGTCGCCGCGGCTGCAAGTGTCGCACCTCGACGAGCCTCCGCTGCAGCACGTACCGCACCACCTGCTGTCCCACCGAACCCGTCGTTCCAACCGCGACGGCCACGTCTCCCCCTACAACCTCACCAACCCCTTCTTCGGCTACCCCGCGTACAATCCGAACTCCTCGGAAGCTACGTTCCGTCTCAACCGCACCCACACCCCGCAGCATCTGCATTCGCGACGCCGCAAACGCGATCTGCTCCGCACGCTGACCTACCTGTTCGTGCTGCGCATCCTCGCTGCGCATCGACGCTTGAGGTGGAGGGTGATGTTGGTGTGGAGGGAGGTGGCGAGGACGATGAGCGTGGGGCCGAGCAGGATAGAGGAGGAGGGGGATGAGTTTTGGAGGAATCTGGATCAGAGGAGGTTGTCGGCGGCGGTGAGGGAGGATGAGAGGAGGGGAGGCAAGGGGAGGGAGAGGGAGGTGTGGGGGAAGGTGGTGAGGAAGATGATGGGGGCGGTGGTGTTGGTGATGCTGTTGAGGCCGGAGTGGAGGAGGAGGGTGATGGCGGGGGTTTATGGGGCCTTTGGGAGGATGTGGAGTGGGAGAGGGGAGGAGAAGGGGACGGTGGATTGGGATGAGTGGGAGAGGAGGGGTGTCAAGGGTGATTCGACAGCGGGCAAGGCGCAGAGTACCAGCTACACAGGGATGCATTTGCGAAAGAGGATGGGGTTGATCAAACCCCAGCTTCCAGCAGCTCCGATGAGCAGCGCTGCTACAACGCCCTCTACCAGAGGTGCCGATGGCAACGCCAAAGGAGGCAAATCATCCAGAGTCAACCCGATCGCCGTCGCCGGCGGCCTCATCTCCGCTGCCTCTCTCGGCTACCTCCTCTACACGTACCTCTCCACCTCCACCCCCTCCAAGGGTTCCGGTGATGACGACGACGACGACGTTGCCGGTCGTCGATCCAACACCCACAAACCCGCGTCGAGCACTCGTCCACGACCCAGCCTCTCGCTCTCCCTCTCGCCCACCTTCGACCGATCACCCGCCTCCATCGCTGGCCTCCGCGCACTTCTGTCGACGATCAGCCCGCTGTTCGTGGTACACCTCATCCTGCCGGGGTCGGAATCGGAGGACTTGTCCAGCTCGATCTCCGCTCTGGCGGCAACACTCGGTGAGATCGGCGAGTTCGATGCGAGACGCATTCTGGAGTACACGCAGGATTCGGGTCGGTTCGCACTGTCGAGGGCGTTGGCGTGCGACTGCCATGTCGAGGTAGCAGTGGGTGGTGGGGGGGAGGAGATGACGGTGGAGCAGTTGGGGAGGATCCGGAGGTGTTGTGGGTTGGTCGTGTATGCGTGTTTTGCGGAGCAAGAGGGGGGAGGGAGGAGGGTGTTGCGGGAGTTGAAGAGGGTGGCGCACGAGGAGGGTGGTGCGAGCAGGGATGCGCCGAATGGGATGAGGGCGTTCGATCTCGGTGCAGACGAGGAAAAGTGGGATGCGTTGGGGTTGAGGTTGTGTCAGTTGAGGGATGGGTGGAAGTGAAACTGCGCACAGACAAGGGTTTAGTCGAGGGGAAACCGATGTCTCATGGTGCAATGTGAGAGAGGGAAACAGTGTGAATCATTTCAATGTCATGCGTTGCGACGAACGGAGGAAAAGCAAAGAAGAACTAAAGAGTCTAAGATCGGATCAAGAGATGCGTGAAAGTGGTATGTGAGAGAAGTATGAGAAGAAACTGTCAAAAGGCGCGCAGTGGCCTCTCTGACCAAGAGGTGTGTCGGGAAGCTCTAGGACTGCTGCTGGTGTTGACCACCCGCCGTCGCCAACCAGTACTGGCTCGCATGACCACCCGCCACCAACCCGTTCTGCAGCCCCTCCTCCGCGCCGCCCTCCGCACGCTTGCCGCCGAGATCCAGCCTCAACCCGCCACCACCCGGTGGACCCGGAGACGGCGTCCTCGGCATATGCGCCGCGCTGCTCGCCATACTCGTGTCGAAGGAAAAGCTTTCCTCACCTCCCGCCTGCTGCTGCCAGGACTGCGACTGGGAGAGGACTTCCGGCAGGTCAAAGTGGGCAAAGCTCCAGTGTTCGAGGCCGAGAGCGTTGGCGGGGAAGATGGCCGACATGTCGGCCGGGTTCGGGGGGAGGTCGGTGGGGTTGTGGTGGGGAGGGGGAGGGGGAGGGTAGGCGGAAAAGTTG